GGTCTCCAGTGTCACACGCTTGTCAAGTAGGTCCCCAGTGCCACACGCTTGTCAAGTAGGACCCCAGTGTCACATGCTTGTCAAGTAGGTCTCCAGTGCCACATGCTTGTCAAGTAGGTCTCCAGTGCCACATGCTTGTCATGTAGGTCCTCAGTGCCACATGCTTGTCAAGTAGGTCCCCTGTGTCACATACTTGTCAAGTAGGTCCCCAGTGTCACATGCTTGAGTAGGTCCCCCATGCCAAATGCTTGTCAAGTAGGTCCCCAGTGCCACATGCTTGTCAAGTAGGACCCTAGTGCCACATGCTTGTCAAGTAGGATCCTGTGCCAAATGCTTTTCAAGTAGGTCCTCAGTGCCACATGCTTGTCAAGTAGGACCCCAGTGCCACATGCTTGTCAAGTAGGTCCCCAGTGTCACATGCTTGAGTAGGTTCCCAGTGTCAAATGCTTGTCAAGTAGGACCCTAGTGCCTCATGCTTGTCAAGTAGGTCCCCTGTGCCACATGCTTGTCAAGTAGGACCCTAGTGCCACATGCTTGTCAAGTAGGTCCCCTGTGCCACATGCTTGTCAAGTAGGTCCCCAGTGTTACATGCTTGAGTAGGTCCTCAGTGCCACATGCTTGTCAAGTAGGACCCCAGTGCCACATGCTTGTCAAGTAGGTCCCCAGTGTCACATGCTTGTCAAGTAGGTCCCCTGTGCCACATGCTTGTCAAGTAGGTATCCAGTGTCACATGCTTGAGTAGGTCCATAGTGCCACATGCTTGTCAAGTAGGTCCCTCGTGTCTCATGCTTGAGTAGGCCCCAGTGCCAAATGCTTGTCAAGTAGGTCCCAAGTGTCACATGCTTGAGTAGGTCCCCAGTGTCACATGCTTGAGTAGGTCCCAAGTGTCACATGCTTGTCAAGTAGAACCCTAGTGCCACATGCTTGTCAAGTAGGACCCTAGTGCCACATGCTTGTCAAGTAGGTCCCCTGTGCCACATGCTTGTCAAGTAGGACCCTAGTGCCACATGCTTGTCAAGTAGGACCCTAGTGCCACATGCTTGTCAAGTAGAACCCTAGTGCCACATGCTTGTCAAGTAGGACCCTAGTGCCACATGCTTGTCAAGTAGGTCCCCTGTGCCACATGCTTGTCAAGTAGGACCCTAGTGCCACATGCTTGTCAAGTAGGTCCCCTGTGCCACATGCTTGTCAAGTAGAACCCTAATGCCACATGCTTGTCAAGTAGGACCCTAGTGCCACATGCTTGTCAAGTAGGTCCCCTGTGCCACATGCTTGTCAAGTAGGTATCCAGTGTCACATGCTTGTCAAGTAGGTCCCCAGTGTCACATGCTTGAGCAGGTCCCCAGTGCCACATGCTTGAGTAGGTCCCCAGTGTCACATGCTTGTCAAGTAGGTCCCCAGTGTCACATGCTTCAGTAGGTCCCCAGTGCCACATGCTTGTCAAGTAGGTCCCCAGTGTCACATGCTTGTCAAGTATATATTTATTAATTTCCTTATAAATATCTCTTCCACCTGTCTTCATACGTTCTTTTTTTCTTGCATGTCCTGCACAAATGTAAACGCGGTTGAAATACCCCCACGCCCACTCCACAAACAAATAAAACAAAATTAAAATAAATATTAATACATGTTCAGAATACTTATGTTACACCTGTTGTTTATCAAGAACAATATTTGTCAATGTCATAGTGACAACATCTGTGTATGTGTCTTAACGAGGATGTTGATATGATACACACACACAGCAATGACTATGAAGTTTCTGGAGACATGCATGTGATAAACAGAGCCTACATTGTGACTTGGGATAGCTGTAGCAGTAAACACATCTGCAGATATGGAGATACCACTCTGTACCTGACTCCGGATAACCGTGAAATGTCCATAGGCTATTACGTGTTGCTGATGGACTGACTTTGTCAATAGTTTTCTACAAAGTTGTTGAATCTCCCCATGAATAGTTGCTGAATATCTTCATGAATAGTTTGCTGAATCTTATCAGGAATAGTTGTTGAATCTTATCATGAATAGTTTGCTGAATCTTATCATGAATGGTTTGTTGAATCTCCTCATAAATAGTTGTTGAATCTCCTAATGACTAGGTGTTGAATCTCCTCATGAATAGTTCCTGAATATCTTCATGAATAGTTTGCTGAATCTTATCATGAATAGTTGTTGAACCTTATCATGAATGGTTTGTTGAATCTCCTCATAAATAGGTGTTGAATCTCCTAATGACTAGGTGTTGTATCTCCTCATTGATAGTTGTTGAATCTCCTAATGACTAGGTGTTGAATCTCCTCATGAATAGTTCCTGAATATCTTCATGAATAGTTTGCTGAATCTTATCATGAATAGTTGTTGAACCTTATCATGAATGGTTTGTTGAATCTCCTCATAAATAGGTGTTGAATCTCCTAATGACTAGGTGTTGTATCTCCTCATTGATAGTTGTTGAATCTCCTAATGACTAGGTGTTGAATCTCCTCATGAATAGTTCCTGAATATCTTCATGAATAGTTTGCTGAATCTTATCATGAATAGTTGTTGAACCTTATCATGAATGGTTTGTTGAATCTCCTCATAAATAGGTGTTGAATCTCCTAATGACTAGGTGTTGTATCTCCTCATTGATAGTTGTTGAATCTCCTAATGACTAGGTGTTGAATCTCCTCATGAATAGTTCCTGAATATCTTCATGAATAGTTTGCTGAATCTTATCATGAATAGTTGTTGAACCTTATCATGAATGGTTTGTTGAATCTCCTCATAAATAGGTGTTGAATCTCCTAATGACTAGGTGTTGTATCTCCTCATTGATAGTTGTTGAATCTCCTAATGACTAGGTGTTGAATCTCCTCATGAATAGTTCCTGAATATCTTCATGAATAGTTTGCTGAATCTTATCATGAATAGTTGTTGAACCTTATCATGAATGGTTTGTTGAATCTCCTCATAAATAGGTGTTGAATCTCCTAATGACTAGGTGTTGTATCTCCTCATTGATAGTTGTTGAATCTCCTAATGACTAGGTGTTGAATCTCCTCATGAATAGTTCCTGAATATCTTCATGAATAGTTTGCTGAATCTTAACATGAATAGTTGTTGAACCTTATCATGAATGGTTTGTTGAATCTCCTCATAAATAGGTGTTGAATCTCCTAATGACTAGGTGTTGTATCTCCTCATTGATAGTTGTTGAATCTCCTAATGACTAGGTGTTGAATCTCCTCATGAATAGTTCCTGAATATCTTCATGAATAGTTTGCTGAATCTTATCATGAATAGTTGTTGAACCTTATCATGAATGGTTTGTTGAATCTCCTCATAAATAGGTGTTGAATCTCCTAATGACTAGGTGTTGTATCTCCTCATGAATAGTTCCTGAATATCTTCATGAATAGTTTGCTGAATCTTATCATGAATAGTTGTTGAACCTTATCATGAATGGTTTGTTGAATCTCCTCATAAATAGGTGTTGAATCTCCTAATGACTAAGTGTTGAATCTCCTCACGGATAGTTTGCTAAATCTTATCATAAATAGTTGTTGAACCTTATCATGAATAGTTTGTTGAATCTCCTCATAAATAGCTGTTGAATCTCCTAATGACTAGTTGTTGAATCACCTCATGAATAGTTTGGTAAATCTTATCATGAATAGTTGTTGAATTTCCTCATGGGTAGTTTGTTAAATCTTATCAGGAATAGTTGTTGAATCTCTTCATGGGCAGTTTGCTTAATCGTATCATGAATAGTTGTTAAATCTCCTCATAAATAGCAGTTGAATATCCTCGTGAACAGTTATTGAATCTCCTAATAAAAAGTTGTTGAATCTCCTCATGGATAGTTGTTAAATCTCCTAATGACTAGTTGTTGAATCTCCTCATAAATAGCTGTTGAATCTCCTAATAACTAGTTGTTGAACCTCCTCATGAATAGTTTGTTAAATCCTGATAAATAGTTGTTGAATGTCCTCGTAATAACTCTTCTTGAATAGATGTTGAATCTCGTCATGAATAGTTGTTGAATCTCCTCGTGAATATTTGTAGAATCCCCCCATGAATAGGTGATAAATCTCCTCATTGATAGTTGTTGAATCTACTCACGAATAGCTGCTAAATCTCCTCACGAATTGATGTTGAATCTTTTCATGAATAGCTGTTGAAACTCCTCATGAATAGCTGTTAAATCTTCTCCTGAATAGTTGTTGAATCTCCTCATGAATAGTTTGCGGAATCTTCACATGACCTGTTTGTTGAATCTCCTCATGAATAGTTGCTGAATGTCTTCGTGAATAATTTGTTCAAACTCTTCTTGAATATTTGTTAAATCTCCTCATGAATAGTTGCTGAATCTCCTAATGAATAGCTGTTAAATCTCATGAATAGCTGTTGAATCTCCTCATGAAAAACTGTTAAATCTTGTTGAATATCCCTATGAATTGTTGTTGAATCTCATCATGAATAGTTGTTGAATTTCATCATGAATAGTTGTTTTTGAAAGATGCCCCAAACACAACTCCCTCAAGCCTATTATCAACTCAGTGATTTAGGTTCAATTTTTCAAGAAAAGAAATTATTTTGACTATTTTGAGTCGTTGGGTAGATTCAAACACTAAGACAGTAAGAAAATTGTTTATTTGTACGAAACTCTCAAATTCCCGTTGGAATCTTATGAACTCTAAGATTCAAAAGCATATTTTTTTATTTAGTGAAACAATCAGCCCCACTCCATTCACGTATGTATCGTGCTCTAGGGTATATGTAGGGGCTCACATCTATGGTTCCTCAGTACACGAGTGTTCCTTTATAAAATTATTTGTTTTTAACCTTATGCATAACTTCATACGAGTATGCGTTTATTTGGGGTAAGAATAACCTGCAGCCTTCGCTGGTTGGCTCAACGACATTCCGCACCGAGATTGCAATCGAGTAAGTCACCGGTTATTACCGAATTAGCCCGAGCATTTCCGAATGCTGCGAGTCATTTCCGGGTCCTTTTCTGCTCACATGGCCGACTCGGAAGACTTTGTTGTGGTTAAAAACAGCAAAGGAAGGCGACGCCGACCCAGGCGAAGCAGAGACTGTGTGTCAAGTTCAACAGAAGCGTTTGATCGCAATGAAAGTGATAACGATATCGATTATGGTAGAGTAAAAGCAAAGATACACTTGTATAGGTGAGTTGAGGTCTGAGTTGACATACTGGTTGAGCTTGTCACTTGACAGTTGTGTATTTTTGTTCTTCGCGTACGTGATTTATATAGTGGGACAGTCTGTCTCACAGTCCCTGAACCATATGTTTTTCTCTTCCGACCAGCCCTTTCCCACAAAACCCTAAATTAACCAAGTCTACATCTCCCATCTCACTGGGGCTCCTTTTCATTTTAAAGTTATTAGTTTCTATCAAAATTATATATTTTCAGAGACTAAGCGTAAGCCTAATAGTGGGATCATGGTGGCAGTTATGCACTGTATTGGACCCCCTTTTTCGAATTTCAATTAGTGCAACGTGGGGATCAACCATTGCCAGTTTGAAGCTAAGCTAATGATAGAGTTAATCTATTCTAATTAGCCAACAATTTACAACAGGAACATGGATGCTATCACCAGCTGATCACAAAGTGATCAGTACCAATTATTTGCTTTTAGCACATTATCTACTTTCTCTGTAAAACTTAAAACTTGATAAAAGTTTTGATTTTCCTCAAAATACATTAATTCTTTAGTTTAAAAGAGATCGTAAATGGGTGTTTGCTTGGCAAGTGGTGCCCAAGGCCTAAAGAGTTCGGGGTGATCTACTGACACAACTAACCCTAATGATCGAAGAGGCATGTGAGGTCGTCGAGGCAAGAGCCATAATCTGCAGTGTTGCCAGTTAACATACCTGTTCAGCATGTGTTGTTACAAGACCACCTCAACAGCAAAGCTTTAGTATTTTTGTAACATTTGTTTGTTTGTAGTTTAGTCCAGCTATATGACGATGGCCAGACAATCTAGTGATTCACGTCATGAGCATTGATCCACGCAAATGGGATACAATGATATGCATCAACCAAGTCAGCAAGCTTGACCACCAGATCCCGTTAGTCGCCTCTTACGACAAGCATAGTCGATTTTACGGCAAGCATGGGTTGCTGAAGACCTTTTCTACCCCGGATATGAATCAATAATACGTAACTGATTGATGATTGTTTCAGAGATGAATTGAAGTGCAGCGAGTTTTACATCAATGTACTGGGTAAGTTCATTTCTACCATGTTGTTTAGATTTCATGCCACATTTAATCACTTGTAAAAATGTATGTCTGATTGTTCATGGATACCATCTGATTGTGTGAGAAAACTTTTAATGGGTAGGCTTTTGTTAATTTTGAAGATGCATGCTCTCACTATCGCTGTTTGTAATGATGATAATGAAAGTGAAATGGGCATATAACATCGCGTCCAAGATTATTGCACTTGCACGTGTGTGTTTGTGTGGCTGCTTGTGCTAGTCCAGACTGATGACGATTTATAGTGCTAGCCCACTGAGATACCATGCTGCAGTTTAACATGAATACCCCACTCAGACACAGTATACTGACTCCGAGCCGACCAGTCCTTGTTTTAGCCCCTTAATGCCAAGCGCCAAACGGTAACAGCAAGTACCATCTTTTAACGTCTTTAGGTATGACGCGGCCGGGGATCGAACCCCAGACCTCCACTCTCCGGGCGGAAGCTCTAAAACTAGACCATGGAGGCTGTCGGTGATGATGATGAATAAATGTCAAGGGGTCGATGTCATAATCATGATAATATATAGCTGTCATTACTCTGCCCTGGTTTTAGGGGTCGTTAGTTTCTAATTCTGTTGGGGGCACGGGTGGCCCAGTCGTCTAAGGCGCCGCGATTAACTGTGCAGAGTTGCGTCCCTTGGACACGCCAGAAACCTATGATTGTGGGTTCGAATCCCGGTTCACCCCAATTATGTTTCTAGGTTTGTCAGCACCATACCCGTGCTCGTGGGTTTCACCGAAGTGGTATACGTCCGAGACCTGCATCACTTCGGGCTTTCCTCCCACATTAAGCTGACACGCCGTGATGTAACTGGAATACTGTTAAAAGCGGCGTTAAACCCAACTCACTCACTCTCATTCTGTTACAAAAAATTCTCAACGTCCCCAGCAGTTGCACGGACTCCCCTTTGTATTTAGCACTAACTACTCTCACTCACTGTGGTGGTACTGGTAGGTTAATGTTTAGGGTTAACAGACTTATCGTGCCAATATCTAGGTTTTATTTTTGTTGTAACCACGGTAACAAAATGTAACACTTCGTACAGAAAATTGATTTCATTTTTACCAGTTTGAGTTTGTTACATTTTCAGATCAGTTGAAACAGTGTTATTTGACTCTACACCAAGACAGTGAAAAGCAGGAGGCTGAACGTAGGCGTGCTACCGATCTAGATGGCGCTGTCAGGGGGGTGGCCGGTCTCAGCCTCAGTGACCCTCCCCCTGACTCGCCCCTCCGGCCCGACATGGAGTGTGTTTGTTACGGCGTGGGTAATGTCTCCAGCAACATCATTGCACAGTATCAGCTGGCCCTCGTCATGGCGTTGAGGGAGGACTTGAAGGTAGGGTGGGAATAGAACAAGTCATCCATGTACCATTAACCAACATGTTCTACTCAGCCAGGCCATTCATGATACTCTTCATTTAATAACTGACCTCAGTCATTTTTGCATTTATGGAGGGATAAACAGTTATGTAAAGAACGGTGTGCACACTTTGCATAAATCTGCTGCATTAAACATTTTGCAATTAATTTTTATAACCCACGCAGGGCGCTCTCAAAATTAGAAATAGGGGGCTCTTATTAGAATATTATTTTGGTGGAAAAACAGTGTTGAAAGATAAATTTCGTGGTTTATGCTGACGGCCTGAATGTTCATGTACGACAGATATATTTTTCCAGAATTTAATTGCCCATAATTAAGGGTGCATATAACACACGAATGCGTATTATACACGAATAAATAAGTCTTGTGTACATAGCTCAATCGGAAGGGGTGCTAATTGGGATTGTTCACTAGCCAATATATTAGCAAATATCGCTGTGGGCTCTTATTAGAGCGGGGCGCTAATTACGTCAAATACGGTAGATCAATAATAATAACTCCACTGACTGCTTTTTTAACCATTAACTCAAACACTAACACACTGGAGATAATGATACAGAATCAGTAACATCGTTCACCGAGCCCTGCACATGTGCTTGGTTAGCCAATCAAATGCCCTAGAATCACTTTGTTTATTTATTCTGTATTGACACGTTGTTTCCGTATCTTTCACAACTTAGTTGAATTTATCGCAAATCCTGTTTTAAAGCTGGTACCTACTGACATTGGTTTTCAGATAAGAAGTCTGTTATTGAAGATGATCATGTATTGGTGTTGCTTTAAAGAATGCCTGAATCATAGTTGATGTGATTATAGCAAAAATACAGGAATACATCAATGAGTTGGTGACCCGTGAAGACTCGGGGTAGAATAGGTCGCCAGCAACCCCTGCTTGCTGTACAAGGCGACTATGCTTGTCGTAAGAGGCGACTAACGGGATCGGGTGGTCCGGCTCTCTGACTTGGTTGATGCATGTTATAGTATCCCAATTGCGTGGATCAATGCTCATGAGGTCAATCACAGGATTGTGTGGCCCAGGCTTGATTATTTACAGACCGCTGTCATATAGCTGGAATATTGCTGAGTGCGGCGTTAAACAAACAAACAAACAATGAGTTGGTCGTAGCAAATTACAATCAGGACGATGCTAGTACGATGATGTAACTTAAGTTTCAAGTGGGGAGGTCGGGTAGCCAAGTGGTTAAAGCATTAGCTTGTCACGGCGAGGACCCGGGTTCGATTCCCGACATGGGTAAAATGTGTGAAGCCCATTTCTGGTGTCCCCCTGCTGTGATATTGCTTGAATATTGCTAAAAGTGTCTTAAAACCATACTCACTCACTAAGTTTCAGGGGTGGTCGGGTAGCCTAGTGGTTAAAGCGTTCGCTCGTCACGCCGAAGACCCGGGTTCGATTCTCTACATGGGTACAATGTGTGAAGCCCATTTCTGGTGTCCCCCGCCATAATATTGCTGGGATATTGCTAAAAGTGGCATAAAACCATATTCACTCACTAAGTTTCAAGTTTTGTAGCTCAACTTATTTTCGTGATGGTGTAGCTCACACAGTTTATATTCATGATGGTGTAGCTCACACAGTTTATTTTCGTGATGGTGTAGCTCACACAGTTTATTTTCGTGATGGTGTAGCTCACACAGTTTATTTTCATGATGGTGTAGCTGAAGCAGGACAAGTGCTTCATGTTTGACCCAGCCTTCACTGATGGGGACAAGCAGACCCTACAAGACCTTCACTTCAGTATTATTCCTGTAAATGAGGTGGGTATAGTTGGTTATACAATAACTGTGGTATATCCATTTGATTGGTCAGTTAGAGGTTTCAATTCACATCAGTATACCTTGAATTTTTTTGGCCCATTAACTATATAGAGATGTATACCAGAGCCCACTGACACGAAGCTATTTTAGTGTTGTAGCCTGTTTAATTTGAGTGTTGCTCTATGCTTAGACAGATTTATGCACGTGGGCCCAGTTGAATGCAGCTCTACACATGCTCAGGTGACGACCGTTTTTGAAAACAATCTTACTTATCATGGTAACCATGGTAATGTTCCATGATTTGCCTATTCTCTGATGTACCACTATCAGGGTTATGTCCCTTGCAGGGGTTTGGGCAGATGTGTCCCTTGTGTAACATGGTTGATGTATCTTCCAACTCCGTGGTCTTGTGGATAGATTGTCTTCCTGGAGAGCGGAAGGTCCGATTCAATCCCCAGCGGCGTCAAACCAAAATATGCTAAAAGATGGTACTTTTTGTTACCCTGCCTGGCACTTGGCATTGAGGGGCTAAAACAAGGACTGGTTGGCTCGGAGTCAGTATTCTGTGTCTTAGTGGGGTATTTATCTTAAACTGCAGCATGGAATCTCAGTGAGCTAGCACTATAAATCTGGCATATGTCACAGAACTTTTTAAATTTCCCAAACATTTCAGTCAGACGACCTGACCAGAAACTTTGCAAAGTTACCAGGCCAGAATTTTTTATATAGAGTACTTGTACATACATCCTCTGTTATAAACAATACAAGTCTAAGATATTAAGTACGTGCGTTCTGATTGGATAATTTTGAGCATTTGGACAATAGAAAAACTGCACAGACACTTCATGTCAACATACATGGATTTGACAGAATAAAATGTTTAATTTTACAGTTAATTTATCTTGTACATTGAATTAAGACTAGAATGCTTAGGTAATTTAGGGAATACAATAATAGCTGGAGCCATCTGTCGGGCAGGTAGGTATTTTAAACACTGGTCATTACTAGTACAAGCATTCACTGACACATGCATGCACGTTGCTATATACCGTATTCAACGTAATAAGTGCCAAGGGCACTCTCAAAATTAGAAAAAGGGGGATTTTATTTATATTTTGGTGAGTAAGTTTTGCATACACTGATGAATCGGAAGGGGCGCTTATTGGGATTGTTCACTTGCCAATATATTAGTCAATATCGCCATGGGTGCTTATTTGAGCGGGGCGCTTATTACGTCGAATACAGTAAGTGCAATATTCTTGAATGCAACGTAAAACCCCGTTTCACCTCACATTAGAGCCAATGAAATGAGGATCAGTTGGTCACAATGTATGACCTGGCCGATGTGTGTTGTCATACCCGAGTGCCATGGATTGTTGCTTCAGCTGTCAGCCACTGGATTGTTTTGATTTCCCAGTTAATTTGCCCCACACTGAAGCACATGTAACACACATGGGGCATCTCCTTGGGCAAGTGACTTTGTTCGATATGTGCCTCTGTTCACCCAGCAGTGAATGGGTACCCAGCAGTGAAGAGATGGCAATGTGTCTGTTAACCTAGAAGCGCCTAGCAGGCAGCTTGGGTTGTATACTCCCTAGGTAGCTGAGAATGATTTTTGAGTGCACATTGATCTAGTGACCGGGGTAATAATAGCGCTTTGAGCATGCCCTTGAGTGGTGTGGAAATATGCGTAATATTAATAGCCTATTCTTCTTCTTATTATTATTGTTATTATTATTATAATAAGAGGAAGGAGGCCTTAAAGTCTTGACAAGTTTTTTTTAATGTTCATTGCCCGAAACAAAATGGCTTGAAATATGAGTTTTAACAAAAATAAACACAAAGTTAAATAATATTTTTCACAGATTTTCACAAGTTTTGTAGTAGTATTAATTTGTTTGTCTGTTGTTTTACACCACAGCAATATTCCAGCTGTGGGACAGCAGTCTGTAAATAATCTTGTCTGGACCAGACAATCCGGTGATTGACATCATGTGCATCGTGCACTTTCTAACTGAACAGGAATATTTAAGGAGTGACTGTGTATTTTTTTCGGTTCATGGAGGTATGAATCGAAAAACCGATGTGCAAACTTTTGTAAGAATCCACTACATCGGTTCACTGGGAAATAATGCAATAACATGTGACCAATTCAGCTAATCAGAATGCAGGAATTTCAATGAACACACCGAAAATTTAAATTGTCAGTTAAACAAGATAATCAACCGATCTGGACACATTTTCACACGTTCAAATCCTCTCATCCACTGGGTGTGAAGCCCATTTCTGGTGTCCCCCGTCGTGATATTGCTAGAATATTGCTAAAAGCGGCGTAAAACCTCAATCACTCTCTACCACTGGCCATGTTTACACCAATGTTTTCTAGTGCTTGTCAGTGTGTTCAGTGACGTGTTGTTGACTGCAGGAGGGCAAGAGGCGTTGTCGAGTGCCGACGTTGTTCTTCCTCCCCCACTGCGGCAAGGCCCTCTACAACAACCTTCTGTGGTGCAACTGGCTGCCACACATGCTCCGCAACATCGTCATCGTTGGAAACAGCTTCACAGCCATGGTTGAAAGGTGACAATTAGAGCTGAGTATCGCTTGGTATCTTGCGATATGATTTGAATCACAATGCAGACTGATGATACTACTAGTGAATTGTTTGATAGGCATTAGTTAGAAGTTGATGGATGACAAAGCAGACACAGTTAGTGGATGACAACTTCTTTTTTAACTGTAAGGCGACATTTCGGTATAGATCCTTATACCATTGTTATGCAAGGCTATATCATGTACTATGTTCATTATTCAGACTTGCTTGACAATGGTAAAAGGATCTATACCGTAATGTCCCTTTACAGTAAATAAAGAAGTTCCTATCCTTAAGTTGTGTCTACTTTGTGATACTACTGGTATCATGATACACCACATCAAATAGTAAGAAATGATGAAATCGCTGAAAAACTCTCTAAAACCTCGTTCTTCATGCATTTATTTATTGTTATCTCTAATCTTTAACAAAGAAATCCACAAGAAAAAAAGTTTGAAATGAAGGGATGGTTGTTAAAAGTAACAGTTAGTCGGCGCGTCCTCAGCGACCACGTCCTTGTGTTCTGCCATGCTTACAGGTGGCGATGCTACTTCCGCCATCAAGGGAGGTAACTCTATTAGTTCCTGTTCTATTTATAGCATATCTCAATCTCACACATCCGATTCAAGTACCGTGTGCACTGAAGTGTCTATGATATCGTAGGTATCGGTGAATTGTTACATTGTGACAATGAAAGAAATAGTCAAGAGAACTTAAGTGATCTGAGACGCACTGAACATGCTGTCACTGACCTGGGCACCACGAGTTAACATTTGTCATCACTGGTGATTGGCTGTTTGGTAATCATGACCTGTCACATACATGATATAAGTTATTTTATTACCTACGAGGGGTAACATACCGGGTTCATAAAAATCATATGTGCCCCAGGGTCATATGTCACGAGACAACCGTGTATTGTTTCCGTCATCCAGACAGCATTGCAGACGTCATTCGAACCTTATTGTAATGTGAGTTTGGAATGACGTCACACTAGAAACAACACCATAACTGAAGATTGCTGACTTGTTGTGTGTAATAACTTTCCGATATTTGCACTTGACTCTCAATTCTGATTGGTAAATTGAAGCCATATGACGTCAAAGTGCTTCATGATTGAGAAACATGACATGGCGTCATCCATTAATCATGTCATCACTAATTGATGTCATAAGAAATATATATGTTGTTAAATGTTAACAGTGCAGCGTTAAACAACAAACAAACAAACAAAACTGAAAACCCAGGTTTAACATTGTGCCTCTGGCAACTAAGAGTTACCTCCCTTGTATTGTGATGCCAGCATGGTTCCGCTGTGATGGAAGTCTGCTACTTTTCAGATTGCAGCTCACAAAATGTATGAAAGCTCCTGACATATCTCTCATTATATTTCAGGACTCCAGAGCGACTTTTAAAACAAACTGGATTATATATATTGAAGGTACCTATTCATTTTTTAATCTATTCAGAAAATTAGCCATAAACTCTTTTATCGTCACACCTTCAATATTGGCCACTTGAGACTGTACTGGAATGAGCCACGAATTCAGCTTCCAGAATCAACTGATTCGAATGATTTCTCCAACTTTAGCCATGTGGTTGATGCGTAATTTCACCTTATCTTTCATAATGACCTCCGGTTGTGTCATTATACCTGCTTAAGTTGTGCTCAGAATGGCCAGTAAATTCCTGGATCAGAATCAACTGTAGCAACTTTTTGTGACATCATCACAATACTTTGTGAAAAATGTTTTTATATCAGTGGAGAATATTTTACATGTGTTTTAAAATGTCCAATCAACATCAAGGAATATATAGTTATAGGCTAAAAAAAATAGTCTTGGTTCTCAGGCAACGCTCGCACCACCATGAAGTCTGCCGCATGTTTCGTTTTTATTTCCATTTAAAAAAAAATAGAAATATCTGAATACTTAAAAACAATGCAATCCAATATAGCACACAGTTACTTCCCTTTACATGCGCACTGCCTTACTGTGCATTTTGTGTTATGGTCATGGCACCAATAGGTGTTTGTATGTTTGTTTATGTCGGAGGCCCTTTCCCAGGTTGATGGTACACAACTGTTTATTTGGTTACATACTAGTTTGAACTAGTAAAAAAACACACAAAAAAACCACTGCCCACCCGCACTATATTTTCAAAACTATATTTTTAAAAGTCATTACCTGAGAACCATTTCTTAAATTTTTTTAGCTATAGAGTTAAAATTTTAATCTCTGATGTCTGTAGTCCTGGGTGTCATTGTAATGCTTGCGTTCCAATAGCTGCTATCATATGATCTTAGTTCTACTCCCTTTACAAGGATTGGGTTTATAAGAGCAACCCTTATTTCAGATACAGGAGTTCACAGTTGAGATCCCTCTAAGTCCAGTCTTTCATCACAGCGACGTCTTCAACGACATGGCCATCCACTACTTCCCTCTCCATCGACTGACCACTGCTCCCGGGGAATTGTGGGAGGCCCATGATGCACCAGTGTACAGGGGACAGGAAGCAGAGATAATACTTAGCTGCTGAGGCACTGTGCTTTGTGGACTACATCGGTAGGATGGACTCCATGAACTTGGACTCAGGGGGGATTCCAGGTTTGAATAGGGTACATCCCCAACCCATCCCCCCATCCTCCAGCAACCAATGGTGGTCATAGGCGGATCCAAAGGGGGAGTCCGGGTAGAAACATAATCGAGGCGAACAGGGATTCGAAGCCACAATCATAGGTTACGTGAGTGCCCAAGGGACGCAACTCTGCACAGCGAATCGCGGTGCCTAAGACGACTGGGCCACCCGTACCCCCGGCATCTTAAGAAATATCATCAATTGTATTGTTGTGATTTTGGATTCAGACCATCAGGTATCTGAAACCTAGGAAAGTTATTCTTACATAAACGTAAAGGGAAGTTATGGAATGCTGCTCATGCTTTGTTTTCGTGTTTTTTTCTTGAAAAGTAAAGTATTCATTTGCGAACCTGATCCGTGGTCTAGTGGGTAGAGTGTCTGCCCGTAGAGATGGAGGTCGTTGGATCAATCCCTAGAGGAAGCCACAATACATCCTCAGGTTTAGATCTCACCCATGACATATTGTGGAAAGACGAGAGAAACACACTCGAGGTTCAGGGTCTGTATTTACTCTATCAGCTCAGAACAACAAGTCAAGATAGTGTTGTGTCCGATAACAGGATTCTGCCCAGTGCGATGTGTGGAAAACAATGAACAATGTACATATGACTCACAAGAAGGGATAGCAAAACTTCGTGCTCAGCTTGGAAAAAATTATCCTTTCATGTCAGAAGTTCCTCAACATGGCCAGACCAGTTTACATTCTAATTTTACAGACCATTAGCGATCCAACAGGACCAGTAGAGATCCGACAGGACCAGTAGAGATCCAACAGGACCAGTAGAGATCCAACAGGACCATTAGCGATCCAACAGGACCAGTAGAGATCCGACAGGACCAGTAGAGATCCGACAGGACCAGTAGAGATCCAACAGGACCAGTAGAGATCCGACAGGACCAGTAGAGATCCAACAGGACCAGTAGAGATCCAACAGTTTTCTTGGTGCTGGTCCTTTGGACCCTTGACAAATTTTGGTCAGTGTCAAACTGACTGATGTAAAAGCTGTGTTGTCGAGAAGATTTACTCTCCCAGACCCGTTTTTTTTAGGACTAAAACCTTTCTTTCACTAGTCCTTAGAGTCTTGTAGCTAGCTCTTTTGAATGAGACAAAAATGTTCACACTTTTTTGTCAGTTTTATTCAGTTCCAATTTGTAGCAAAACTGAAGCATGAAAACATATTCAGAATAGTAACCCTAAACTGCAACTAGTCATTGAGGACTACTGTCAGTGGGGTTTTACTTATCAACAGCACAATTTAGTAGCCTCGGGCTAGCAGACTAGCAGGAATTTCGAAGGCTACACTCGTGCTCTAGTATCATGAAAAACAGATTTGATTTTCTGATTTAATAACTTTTTTATCAAATACATGACAAGTCTTTGAAAGGCATTTAGAAGTGATACACCTAAGGAAGAAAATTTATGGATGTCAACTTCTTTATCATGAGGAACACAAAGTTTCAGAGTAAATGCTTACCAATCAGTGATAATTCAGTTCTGGCTTCCACTTGTCCATAACTATCAGCGCTAATTACTGTAAAGTGTTGGCTTCCATTGTCTGTTGCTGATCACCTATCAGTGCTAATTACTGTAAAGTTTTGGCGTCCATTGACTATTACTAATCACCCATCAGCGCTAATTACTGTAAAGTTTTGGCTTCTATTGTCTATTACTAATCACCTATCAGCGCCAATTATCAATTGGCTTCCTTTTTCCACCTTTTGTTATCTTATTACTTTTGTTGTTCTTACATGTACATATATATATGCTCTCTGCCTCATAGCGTTCACTCACCTGATGAAGGAGTAAGCATATACTCTGAAACATTGTGTTTCTTAATATAAAGAAGTTGACATAAAAAATTCTCTTCCTTACATGACTTTAGCTGATATTTCAGCTGGATTTTTACATGCAAGGAAATATTAAACCCACCAACAGGTTGAAATCCATGATATCCTCCAAAATCTACATTCATGTACTTTCATTATGACCATCCACAAAGGACATGGTGAAACATTCGTCTCGGGCTACAGATTTGCTCATACTTAGATTTTCTCTTAAATTTTGAAATAACACTTTTCACTTAGTCTCGCCAAATTCATATATCAATTATGCCAGAAATAAAAAAAAATTGGGTAAAATTTAGTTGTAGCCATTTGAACATATATGATCATTTATTTTTTTTAGCAACTATAAAATTTGACACTCCAATAGGCCCTGTCCTGCCTAGTCCTTTCCACCATATTTTGAACTGTCTCCAGAACGTTGTTTTTGTCGTTGTTTAGGGCAAAGGGGTAACCATGGTAACTGCACTGAGGGTAGCTTGATAATACACTCGGTTCTTTCACTCTGGGAAACACTCAACATTCCTAGATGTACAGAATGGTTGACGAAATAGTGACAAATATCCCTCGCACAAAGGAGAAAGATGGTACATGTTGATGACAAATTCTGACAAAAGATAAGAATTAAAGTGTGGACTTCCATGTATGATCGTGTTTGTTGTTTAATGCCACACTCAGCAATATAATTTATCATGGCGGTCTGGTAACAATAGGGTCTGGGCCAGACAATCCAGTGACTGATGTTGTGAACACCGATCCCCGCTGTCGGGGTACGATGACATGCATCAACCAAGTGGCCGACCACCAGATCATTCATTAGCCTCTTACGGCAAGCATAGGTTGCTCAAGGCCTATACTCTTACCCAGAATCCCCACGGGAACGTGGTATCTAAGTTGATGGAAGAAAAATTACAATGAGTGAGTGAGTTTGGTTTTACAGTACTTAATATTCCAGCAATATCACGACGGGGGACACCAGAAATGGGCTTCACACATTGTATCCATGTGGGGAGTCAAACCCAGTCTTTCGGCGTGACGAGCGAACGCTTGAACCACTAGGCTACCCCAACGCCCCTTACAATGATTGAAATCTTTAACCCATACACAAGCTTAAAAATATTATGTACTTATAATTTGAATGGATGTCAATACTAAAAGAGGAACGTCAAGTTCAGATTAAAACAGTTAAAACCGGAAGTAGCCATGAAACACAATTGAAATTAATGAAGAAGTTATCCATAAGAAGTTCCATGTCTGCACGCGACTGACTCTATGAATGGAAACTTCAGGAAGACGGGTGAATCATAAGCAGATAACATGGACTGTTCACATACTCATTCATACATCCACATGAACATAAAGAATTCGAAAACACTGAGTCACTTCTCTTATATTGCACACAATCGTTATTCAACCATTCTTCAAGGTGTACTAGACATTGAACAAACCATTACTTGAAATCCATTTTGCTAACTTTCTTGATTATTCCCATGATAAAACATAGTTTCACTGTACGCTGATTCAACAAAGATTAAACTCTTTCAGAACAAGTAACATCAAAGTTTAACTGCTGTAAAAAGTTTCCATATATGCAACAAGTGATTAAAAAAGGACACCAATAAAGAATAAACGTTTTTCCCTCATAAAACATAAACCCTTTCAGACTTACATAGAAATAATCAGAAAGAAAGCTGGTTTTGCGACCTGTGTTGCTTCTCGGGAGCACTTGCTCCAGCATAAGGGGAAGATAACAAGCTATATTATGGCTGCAATACATGGCAATATCTACACATTCACAAATTCCTTAAGTCACACAACACATATATGTCAACTTTGATAAGCATAAAATCTTGATGCAAATCTGGAAAAAGTTCATGAATGACCTTGACCTGAATTATACATGACCTTGACATTGTATCAATGGCCTTGATCAAATGCTCTGACATAAAACATCAATATTTGAGTGGAGAAAACTTGCACTCATTAAAAGGCATGTGAAGTGAAAAGCATTCAGGGAAAACCCCAAATCTTTTATTCATGGAAATAAACATACTATAGTCAGGTGTTGTTGTGAAAGCTCTTTTCGAGAATTCCTCTCCTTATCCTACGAATCAGGGTACATTGGCGCGCGTGTTTCGCTGTTGATTAGTTTGGTTTGTTTTGGGTTTTGTTTGGTATGTTTTGGGTTTTTTTCTTGGGGGGGAGGGGGGGTTCCAATGACATGCTATGGTGTATTGTGACACCCTTTTGGGTACACTGACACCCTGTGGAGAATATCAATACCCTTTAGGCAACAACGACACCCTGTGGAATATGACCACACCCTTCAAGTTACGACACCCTGTGCAGTGTGTCAACACCCTTTAAGGTTACAATGACACCCCAAGAGGTATGACAACACTGCTCAGTGATAGACACGACCACTTGTTCACTTATCCATGACTTGTTAAAATCTCAAAGGACTACTTGTTTGCCTCCCAAATCTAGTTATGTTACATAAACCCCCTGACCTGGAACACTGTGGACTGGTTGGATTTGCCCACGATATATCCTGAGTCTACCACTGCAGGATGTTGTACCATGTACAAAGACACAGTTCAGACTCTACCACATCTTCCCAAGGCTAGAGAATTAACTGACTATAAACGTCCAGTTTCCACCCTTGCCGAACTAGACTGGAATATTGAAGTTATATCAATATACTAGCTGTAGTAACTAGTCTAAGCATTTTCAAATTAAAATCGCATAACGAAATCGACATCCGGTTCGTAAAATGCAGCGGAGTCGATTATCAGATTTGTAAACCCGTTTTATAACAATATGGATTTTGATTATCAATAAGATCGTCCTGACTGGGTACCACCATTTTGTTTGTTTGTTTGTTTGTTTGTTTGTTTGTTTGTTGTCACACTCAGCAATATTCCAGCTATATGATGGTGGTCTATCAATAATCGTGTCTGAACCAGACAATTCAGTGATAGATACCATGAGCATCGTTCTACGCAATTGGGATACGACGACATGCACGAACCAAGTCAGCGAGCCTGACCACCCAATCCTGTTAGCCGTTTCTTACGACAAGCATAGTCGTTCTGTGTACATAGTGAAGTGCAAATACATAGAGTGAATAGGAGATGCAGCTGTCTAACACAGCAAGCATGGGTTGCTGAAGGCCTATTCTAACCTGAATCTTCATGGGTATCCCTTTTGTGGAATCTGATTGGTCAATAGGAGGGACATAGAAGGGACATAACTCTTATAGCCAATGGGGGCACATCTATCAAGCCCAGAAATTCAAGCCTTGTTCGGTTACAGTCAGTTAACACCCTTGCCTCAGGAAGATGACTGTACCACTGTGTACCTATTGCAGAACTGTGATACTCTTTGGCATGTAAATATGCTCTACAGGCTAGGCCACAATAAATTAATATAACATTTCATCCAAATTAAAAAAACTGATGCAAAAAGCATTTTGTTTTTCATATTTTATTTGTTCATTTTCAGCAAACTCTTCAAGGGATCTCTGCACACCAACAGTGGACAGATGTGATTCACATGAAGCTTGAATGTTTTGTACGACCATACATGGTGTAGTTCATCATGGAGGAAGAAGGGAACAAAAGTGACAATTTTCTTTGAATGTGCCGTACTTAGTGACTTATGACGTGGGGTGGTGTTTTGCAGTGAGACGGGGGGATGAAAATCTAACAATTAATTCATTATGGCCTTATGGTGACATTAAAATGGGGGCAATGATACTTTAAAAACCAGGTCAGTTTTAGTTTTGCGACCAACCATTTTATATTTGGGGGACGGGGGATTTTGTAGGGACACTTTCAGACACTTTCAATCTTTCAGTTGTAAAACCAGATATTTTTGCAATTAAAACTATGAGTCTAAATATTTAGGTTTTTTTAAAAACATCTTGTAACAATATCATTTTGTGGCAGACAATTTCTTTTTTTTTAAAATAATTTGAAGAATAAATATTTGTTTTCCAAACATTTTTTTGATAAAATCTCAGGGTCACACCTAGAATATCAAATAGTCGGTCCCTTAGCATCCTTGGTGGTCACTGATCCCAGACCGGTGAGTAGATTCTCTTCCCACACTTACCCTGATATACTGATAGACCTGGGCCCACTTGCACAAAGCGATCTTAGCGCTAAGACTATCGTAAGCCTAAGTATGGGAGTTACGATCATCTTAGCGCTAAGATCGCTTTGTGCTAGTGGGCCCCGAAGTATCTAAGGACATACAAACAAACTCATTTGGCACAGAGTATTTAACGCAACAACCATCACTAGCATCTTCCGTTGGTCAGTCAAGCTTGATGGGGACAACACACTGAGATGATTATGAGATTGTGTGAGCTGGCACAGCACTAGTTCCAGTGTCTTGTGCTCTGATGGCAGTACATACTAGTGAGTCACCGATTGAACTCCACTTCCTACAGCGACCCTGCAAAGGTGGATGAGCTTCATAGACAGGAAACATGTTGGACTTGGACACAGATTGGGTAACACAGCGCTTCCAACAAGGTCGATATCTTCACAAACTATCCATGTTGATCTGGGTCACAGATCTGGGCGACACAGCTTTCAACAATGTCGCTATCTTCACAAACTATCCATGTTGATCGGGGTCACAGACTTGGATACACACAGCTTTCAACAAGGTCGATATCTTCACAAACTATCCATGTTGATCTGGGTCACAGATTAGGGCGACACAGCTTTCAACAAGGTTGATATCTTCACAGACTATCCATGTTGACCTGGGTCACAGATTTGGGCGACACAGCTTTCAACAATGTCGCTATCTTCACAAACTATCCATGTTGATCGGGGTCACAGACTTGGATACACACAGCTTTCAACAAGGTCGATATCTTCACAAACTATCCATGTTGATCTGGGTCACAGATTTGGGCGACACAGCTTTCAACAAGGTTGATATCTTCACAGACTATCCATGTTGACCTGGGTCACAGATTTGGGCGACACAGCTTTCAACAATGTCCCTATCTTCACAAACTATCCATGTTGATCTGGGTCACAGACTTGGATACACACAGCTTTCAACAAGGTCGATAACTTCACAGACTATCCACGTTGATCTGGGTCACAGATTTGGGTGACACAGCTTTCAACAATGTCGATATCTTCACAAACTATCCATGTTGATCTGGGTCACAGATTTGGGCGACACAGCTTTCAACAAGGTTGATATCTTCACAGACTATCCATGTTGATCTGGGTCACAGATTTGGTTGACACAGCTTCCAACAAGGTCGATATCTTCACAGACTATCCACGTTGATCTGGGTCACAGACTTGGATACACACAGCTTTCAACAAGGTCGATAACTTCACAGACTATCCAGGTTGATCTGGGTCACAGATTTGGGTGACACAGCTTTCAACAAGGTCGATATCTTCACAAACTATCCATGTTGATCTGGGTCACAGATTTGGGCGACACAGCTTTCAACAAGGTCGATATCTTCACAGACTATCCATGTTGATCGGGGTCGCAGAATTGGGTGACACAGCTTTCAACAAGGTCGATATCTTCACAGACTATCCACGTTGATCTGGGTCACAGACTTGGATACACACAGCTTTCAACAATGTCAATATCTTCACAAACTATCCATGTTGATCTGGGTCTCAGATTTGGGTGACACAGCTTACAACAAGGTCGATATCTTCACAGACTATCCATGTTGATCTGGGTCTCAGAATTGGGTGACACAGCTTTCAACAAGGTTGATAACTTCACAGACTATCCACGTTGATCTGGGTCACAGATTTGGGTGACACAGCTTTCAACAAGGTCCATATCTTCACAAACTATCCATGTTGATCTGGGTCACAGATTTGGGCGACACAGCTTTCAACAAGGTCGATATCTTCACAGACTATCCATGTTGATCGGGGTCGCAGAATTGGGTGACACAGCTTTCAACAAGGTCGATATCTTCACAGACTATCCACGTTGATCTGGGTCTCAGACTTGGATACACACAGCTTACAACAAGGTCGATGTCTTCACAAACTATCCCAGTTGATCTGGGTCACAGACTTGGATACACACAGCTTTCAACAATGTCGATATCTTCACAGACTATCCATGTTGATCTGGGTCTCAGAATTGGGTGACACAGCTTACAACAAGGTCGATGTCTTCACAGACTATCCATGTTGATCTGGGTCACAGATTTGGGTGACACATCTTCGCAAATATATCAGAATCAAACAATCCAACCCTAACCATTCATTTCATAGAACTGCATTCTGAGTATGTTAGTTACATGAAGTGAGGGGAGGTGTAGGGCAAAGGGTGGTATCACAGAACGCTGTTACACACTGAAGCAGACATGTTGTAGTTCGAAACAATGCCTCGTTCATCCGAGGCTTCTGTAGTGGAACCATAGCTCGACTCTTCCACCAGTGACACCAAATTTGGAGGACTGTGCACAGGCTGCAAAACAGAGGTGGACTGGTCACCTCACCCGTGAATGATGCAGGCAGCTTCACTTTGTCATTCACGAGTTGCTGGAACGTTGGGACATTTAAACATGTTCAACATGACATCCAACTGACAACAATGGGAGACTGAACACTCAAGTCAACAGTTACAGTCATGAGGTATGGGTCACATCCACACCCTTTGTTTAACCATGAGCAGCTAGGGAGTACCTTTGATGAATTCTCCATAGAAATTGAAAAATTCTAAGCACAACATGTCATTAAAGTTTCACATCATTTTTCCAGTCATCTCGTAGCGAATGCTCGAACAGAGCAGCTCTGTTTTGGTTGTCTCCCTTTTTAACCCAGTGTCCATACATCCCGAACGCACATCCGTCTATCAGCTTTCGGAACAATTTGACGCTGTAGGGGTTCGTTGTCACCACATCCAGTGATATAGGGGGTGGGTTCTCATAAAAATGCTTTAATCGGAAAAAGAACCTTGTGCACAGGATTGCAGCCTGAAAAACAGAAGTTGCACACACATTAGTTTTTTTCTTTGTTTGTTGTTAACACCACACTCAGCAATATTCCAGCCACATGACGGTGAAATTCTAAACTTGAACTGACAATGCAGTGATTGATAATGTGAACAATGAGGAGTGAGTGAGTTGGGTTTTACGCTGCTTTTAACAGTATTCCAGTTACATCGCAGCATGTCAGCATAATGTGGGAGGAAAGCCCAAAGTGATGAAGGTCTCAGACGTTTACCACCTCGGTGAAACCCACGAGCACGGGTATGGTGCTGACAAAACTAAAAACATAATCGGGGAGAGCCAAGATTCGAATCCACAATCATAGGTTTCTGGCGTGCCCAAGGGACGTAACTCTGCACAGTGAATCGCGGCGCCTTAGACATCTGGGCAACCGTGCCCCCATGTGAACAATGATCCACGTTGTTGGGGAAAGATGACGTGCTATCAACCAAGTCAACGAGAATGACCACCTGATCCATTTGGTAGCCCATTAGGATCAGCATAGGGTGCTGGGTACCTCTTGTAACCCGGAATCCCCAGGGGGATACACACATCAGTGCTAGCCAGATGTGACAGTGATTGCAATAAAGTAGGTTGGTTGGTTGGTTGTTTAATGCCGCACTCAGAAATATTCCAGCTATATGACGGCGGTCTGCAAAAAATCAAGTCTGAACCAGACAATCCAGTGATTAATATCATGAGAATCGATCCACGCAATTGGGATCGATGACATGCATCAACCAAGTCAGCGAGCCTGACCACCCGATCCCGTTAGTCGCCTTTTACGACAAGCATAGTCGCCTTTTACGACAAGCATAGTCGCCTTTTACGGCAAGCATGGGTTGCTGAAGACCTATTCTACCCCGGATCTTCATGGGTCCAAAGATAATTGCAGCATTATTCTGTGAAATTCTTACCCTGAAAGTTCTTCTAGCATGGAACTTCTTCACGGGGACAAACTGGCAAAACACAAACAAATTGGCAAGTTAGTTAATATACATAGTGTAGTGTACTTAGTGTAGTGCCAATGTAGTGAATAGGGTGCATCTGTCTTACATGCAAGCCATGTTGCAAATGTTCCACCTGCTGCGATAGATATTAACTCAAATATTTCATACAAAGAGACTAAGATTACATGTGTATTTGTCACGTAAAATAAGCCGGATATAGAAATCAGCTGTTCAAACATTTTCTCCCCGATCAATGGGTGTTTTAGTTTTAAAAATACTTACCGTATTCAACGTAATAAGCGCCCAGGGCGCTCTCAAAATTAGAAATAGGGGGCTCTTATTAGAATATTATTTTGGTGGAAAGATGTTGAAAGAGTTGAAAGATAAATTTCGTGGTTTATGCTGACAGACTGAAATGTTTATATGCGACAGATATATTTTTCCAGAATTTAATTGCCCATAATTAAGTTTGCATATGACACACGAGTGCGTATTATACGCGAATAAATAAGTGTACATTGATCAATCGGAAGGGGGGCTAAATGGGATTGTTCACAAGCCAACATATTAGCAAATATCGCCATGGGCGCTTATTAGAGCGGGGCGCTTATTATGTCGAATACGGTAATGTCATGGCCAATATCATAACTCAAAAGAAATTTTAACAGGAAGACGGTGGACTTTGTATCTCTACCGACTAATGTTTGTTTCAAGGCGAGTTCATGGTGTGATTTGACCATCAGTTCATCCACGATTTCACCGAAATTAATGTAAACAAAATTACTAGAAATCTTGGATAAAAGTAATATAATGGATGACAAATAGAAGTCCAGATACACTATGAACAGAGAGTGTAATAAAATTGCGTATTTGTAGACATGCTACCACTCACAATAACATCTTCATGATGTGAAATAAAATCGAATCTCATAATATGAGTGCACACACTGTATTCAAATACTGTATTCTACTCATCTAGGAACACATTTATGTTCGGAGGCCCTTTCCCACACTGATTGTACACAACTGCATGTTTATTTGGTTACATACTAGATTGACCCCCCCGACAAAAAACAAAAAGACAACCAAAAAAAAACCCCAAACCCCCAAAAGACAACAAACAACCCTGCTGCCACCTGCACCTGCTATTGCCTGAGAACCATTTTTTAAATTTATTTGAGCCTTAAGTTGCCTCTTATGGCCAGCATAGGCAGCTTGAGATCTATTCTAACCCCGGAATCCCCTAGGAGATGAGAAATCTGTACACCAACCGAAACAAACACAAGGCCTAACAAAATGTATGTCTCACCTCTCTCTTGAAGAACGGATGTGCTAGAGTTTCCTTGGCAGTGTACCGCTGAGATGGATTAACCACTAGCAGCTTGGAGATCTACAAACAAACGAAAATATTTAAATCAAGCGAATGCTTTAACCTCTAGGCTACCTGACCGCCCCTCCTTGGGGTGCGAAGACTGACATAATGTTGTATTTAAGGTTACTGCACTCACATAGCGACATGCATGCATGTGAAGTGTCACTGCTTGTACTGGTCCAGATTTATCCCAGGTTTATCATGCTAGCTCACTTTACACAAGCCCATGGCCTGTACCAATCTACACAGTATAAGACACTCACCAGTTCTTTGGGAGGTTCTGTGATGTCGTCCCACTCAGGGCTGTTGAAGTGGTAGTTACCCTGCATGATAGCTCGCAGCATCATCATCTGCTTCCGATGCCAGAACGGTGGAGACCCACACAGCCTGGGGACACAGAACAGCCACTTAAACCTTGTAGACAACTTTGGTTTGTTTATTGTTTAACGCCGCACTCAGCAATATTCCAGCTATATGACAGCGGTCTGTAAATAATCGAGTCTGAACCAGACTATCCAGTGATTGATAGTAACAGCATCGATGAACACAATTGGGATACGATGAAACGCATCCACCAAGTCAATGAGCCTGAACACCCGATCCTGTTAGTCGCCTCTTATGACAAGCATAGTCGCCTTTTACAGCAAGCATCGGTTGCTGGCGACCTATTCTACCCCGGATCTTCACGGGTCACCAACTCATTGATGCATTCCTGTATTTTTGCTATCATCACATCGACTATGATTCAGGCATTCTTTAAAGCAACACCAATACATGATCATCTTCAATAACAGACTTCTTATCTGAAAACTAATGTCAGTCAGTACCAGCTTTAAAACAAGATTTCGCCTCTTATGACAAGCATATTCGTCTCTTACTACCAGCATGGGTTGCTGAAGACCTATTCTACCCCAGATCTTCATGGGTCTGATGGGAGATGAAAACCCCAAAGTGATGCAGGTCTTAGATGTTTACCACGTTGGTGAAACCACGAGATAAGGTATGATGTTACCGTCCAAGAAACATTATTAAGGTAAAACAGGGAAAATAAGCATCTAGCCCCCTTAGTAACGCAAATCTGATAAATGAACTCAGTACTCCCGAAGACACACAGGAACAGGTACTCACAATGTGTACATGATGACTCCACATGCCCACCTGTAACAAGAAAAGTGAAGGATTTCATTATTTGATATCAAAATGTCAGACGGCTGAAAGACATTCAAGGATGTGTGATGTGTGATGCGTGATGTGTGATGAGTGATACGTGATGAGTGATGAGTGATGCGTGATGTGTGTGTGATGCGTGATTTGTGTGTGATGCGTGATGTGTGATGCGTGATGTGTGATGCTCAACAGGACAACCACATCACACATCACACATCACACATTACACAGGTACTGCCAGGATTTTGGAAATGAGGGGAGTGTATGGTAACATTGAGTGAGTGAGTTGAGTTTAACGCCGCTTTGACCAGTATTCAAGTTATATCACAGCGTCAGCTTAATGTGATAGGACAGTGATGCAGGTCTCAGACATTCACCACCTCCGTGAAACCCACGAACACAGGTATGGTGCTGACAAACCTGGAAACATCATCAGAGTAAACCGGGATTCCAACCCACAATCATAGGTTTCTGGTGCGCCCAAGAGAGACAACTCTGCATGGTGAATTGCGGCGCCTTAGACGATTGGGCCACCTGTGGTACATTCTCCACTATAAGACACTAAACTCAGACCTATTACTCTGCTACAATACCTCTCTGCATGAAGATCTAGCAATACTCCATCAATACTGCATCAGGTAAACATTCTAATCTAAGATTTTGGCACAGGTAAGCGAAGTCCTGAATTGAAAATAACAAAAGAGCAGAGCTCCAGATAAGCTGCGTATCTGCGTGAAATACGCATCAGAAATGCAGAAATACGCAGTAAAATATAATCCAAGCGTATCAAATACGCAACGAACATTACAGATACGCTACAAAAATAAAACTTGTGCGTATCATCAAAATATTGTGAAGTAACCCTGCGTATTCGATTAGCAAATCAGCAACTTATTTTGAAATTATAAACGGGCATTCCGTCAACCTTGCCAAACTCCACAACGACAGTTACATCATGATCATTTGCCATCACACTTTCTTGTGGAAGTATCGTGGTATTTTTGAGTCCTATAAAGCTCTCGAACCCACACGACACCAGTTTGCAGGGACTAGATGAATAGTGTTTTAAATATTTAACTTAAATACCCACATGTGTAAAAACTAGTGGGTAACAGAAATTTTAATACGCAGATAGAATTACTGATACCCAATGATTTTAAAATGCATGGGTAAAATACCCACAACACCAAAAGCTTATCTGGAGCTCTGAAAGAGGCGTTAATATATATCACACACCCAGCTACTATCGAGGAAATACTTGTGTTCTGTGTGGGTCATCTTTCATTCAGAGCCAAATTTCCAATTCATTGTACTAAACAAAATTTAAGTGAATGTTTCTTAGAAAGCTGACAAGAGCCCATCCATCCTTCATTTAGACTTGCAGTAACGCTTCCGTGTATTTGCCTGACTGACATCTACAAGGGAGCTTGTCAGTTCTTCATGCAGAGAAATCGTTTTAGAGCGAAGGTCTTACTTCATGAGATTGATAAATTTCAGTAACATTGTAAAAGTCTTACATGTCTACTTCCTTGCCGTATCCAGGCACGTTGTCGTACATTGACACTGAGAGAACCTCCGGCGCCAAGTAACCAGGGGTTCCACACAACTCTGAAACAGTAGGGGCAGGTCAGTCAGTCACACAGGACATGACCATTTAGGACTCCATGGCAACCAGACATTCAGAACTCTCCATGGCAACCAGACATTCAGGACTCTCCATGGCAACCAGATATTCCGGACTCCATGGCAACCACACATTCAAGACTCTCCATGGCAACCACACATTCAAGACTCTCCATGAAAACCAGACAATCAGGAGTCTCCATGGCAACCAGACATTTAGGACTCCATGGCAACCAGACATTCAGATCTCTCTATGGCAACCAACCGCTTATATTTACACCACATTCAGTAATATACCAGCCATATAACTAACACGGGACCAGGCAAATCAATACTTGTTGGAATGAGCAATGTTACATGTTGTCAAGGTACAACGTCACACACCCAACCAAGTCAAACATTCTGTCAACCCATGCTTGGCATAAAAGAACACAGAACAACTATGCTTGTCGTAAGAGGCGACTAACGTGATCGGGTAGTCAGGCTTGTTGACTTGGTTGACATGTCATCATATCCCAATTGCGTGAATCAATGAACATGATGTCAATCACCGGATCGCCAGGTCCAGACTTGATTATTTACAAACCGCCGTCATATAGCTGGAATATTGCTGAGTGCGGCTTAAAACAACAAACAAACAAACACACATTCTGTCTTTTGTGTGTACTTCCCACAATGAATTACATTCAAGCTACTTCAGAGCAGAATATAAATAATCATATCTGGGCCATGAAAATGGTTGACAGAAGGATGCATTTTGTTATGACACGATGGCACATAATCAGCCATGCATGTTGTCAGCACACGATCCTTGTCAGCCAGCTCGTACAACAAGCAAGGGCAACTGGGAGAGGGAGGGAATAATGCATAACGTCGCAGTCAGCAATATTCCATTCTGTATTCACTATCCTCACCTGTGAGTTCTTCAGCTGGGGCTAGCACGGTAGCAAAGCCAAAGTCAGACAGCTTCACGTTCAGATTGTCGTCCAGTAGGATGTTCTCAGGCTGAAAAAAACAGTTGACATGGTGTCAATATGTTCCCCAGGAACCAAGAACACATTTGCAGGGTCAGCTTCCTAAAGAATTGTATATCCCATACCTATAATATAATCTTAGCCATGGTAACACTGAGTACTACATCATGTACATATTAGCATTTATTGAAATACCTGACTCATCGTTCAACAAATTTCCTTATAATAGTTGGTTGGTTTGTTGTTTAACGCCACACTCGGCAATATTCCAGCTATATGACGGCTGGACCAGACAATCCAGTGATTAATCTCATGAGCATCGATCCACGCAATTGGGATACAATGACATGCATCAACCACGAGATCCTTACAATAGGTGTTATTTGCCTTAGTATAAGAATTAATACTTTTCACAAATATCACACAAATACACCAAATCTTAACCTTTATCCTCAAGTTGTACAGTAATTTGTAGCCATTACCAACACAATGTCTATAATGCATCATTTCATCTTGAGCAGATTCTTTACGAGTGAGTGAGTGAACGTTGTTTTACACCTGTCTGCAATATTCCAGCTATATCAAGAGTGAGTAACTTTGGTTTAACGCTTTCAATGAGTATGGTTTTGCTCTGTTTCAGCACTATTCCAGAAATATCATGGCGGGGGACACCACAAATGGGCTCCACACATTGTACTTAAGCAGGGAATCGAACCCGGGTCTTTGGCGTGACGAGCATATGATTGAGCCACTAAATTACCCCACCACCCCTAACTCTGCTTTGCAGAGTATTCAAGCCATATCAAGAAGGCACTAAAAAACCTAGGCTTCACAAGACAAACTAGTGGTTGATATTATGAGCACCATCCAACTTTGTCAGGGTACTACAATTAACCAAGTGACCTTTACCAACAAGTACACGCTACTTAGAGCAATTTCTTCCCAAGAATAACATGGCGAGACAAACAGCAATGGGTGTGTATTGTGTTCCACCACTTTTAGTAACATCATGGCAGGGGACACCAGAAAGAGGCTACACACATATTCTCAAGTTGGGAATCAAACCCAGGCTTTCGCTGTTATGAGTGAAAGCTTTAACCACCAGGCTACCCCACTGCCCCCTTAGGATACAATGACGCCCTGTGGAGTGGAGTGTAAAACCCTGTGGAGTGGAGTGTGACACCCTGTGGAGTGGAGTGTAACACCCTGTGGAGTGGAGTGTAACACCCAGGAGACAAAACCAGCAAAGTTTAATACGAAAAGGCCTGAGGAGCATAGGTGTACCTTCAGATCGCGGTGCACGATGTTCTTGGAGTGGACGTACTCTACCGCGTCCAGCAGCTGTGTCATGATGATCCTGCAAACACAGCAACATAGCCACTCAGCTCAACCCAAAATACAGTGGGGTAACCCAAAATACAGTAGGGTAACACAAACACAAGTTAGTGGAGTTTTTTAGAAAGTACTCTTTCTCTGCACACACTCAAACAACAGTGAGTGAGTATGGTTCTACGCTGTTTTTAGCAATATTCCAGCAATATTACGGCGGGGCCCAGACACCAGGAATGGGCTTTGTACCCATGTCGGGAATCGAAACAAGGTCTTTTGCGTGATTAGCTATCGCTTTAACCACAAGGCTACCTGACCGCCCCTCAACAACAGTGATTGCAGCCATTACAAAACTTCACTTTCAGTAGACTATAGCAAAAAATTAACACCAGGGATATGGTGCTGATAAACCAAGAAATCACAATCAGAGCAAATCGAGGATCTGAGCCCACAATCAGTGGATCCTGGAATGGCTAAGGGATGCAACAATTGTGGTGCCTTACACAATGTATCACTGTGTCCCACCCAATACACAAACATGACGAAGGAAGTGTGAACAAAATATGGAACTAACCGTGTCCTCTTCTCCGACATTGACACAACCTCTGTGAGGTAGTCGAACAGCTCCCCCTTCTTACATCTGAAACAGATCACAACATTCAGTCAACATGAAGACACAACACACAGTCAACATGAAGACACAACACACAGTCAACATGAAGACACAACACACAGTTAACATGAAGACACAACACACAGTTAACATGAAGACACAACACACAGTTAACATGAAGACACACCACACAGTTAGGCAAACTAGGCAACTATGCTCGGGTGGTCAGGTGAGATGGAGAAATAGGGTTTAACATCGCGTCCAAGATTATTGCACTTATATAGCGACGTGCATGCCCGTGTATGTGTGTGTGTGTGTGTGTGGCTGCTTGTACTAGTCCGGACTGATGCCGATTTATAGTGCTAGCTCACTGAGATACCATGCCGCAGTTTTACATTAATACCCCACTCAGACACAGTATACTGACTCCAAGCCGACCAGTTCTTGTTTTAGCCTCTTAATGCCGAGCGCGAGACAGGGTAACAACAAGTACCATCTTTTAACGTCTTTTGGTATGACGCGGTCGGAGATCAAACCCTGGACCTTCCGCTCTCTGGGTGGATGCTCTACCATTAGACCACGGAGGCAGTCTCGGGTGGTCAGGCTCGCTGACTTTATTGATGCATGTCATCGTATCCCAAACCTGTAGATCAGTGCTCATGATATCAATCACTGGATTGTCTGACAGACTTGATTATTTACAGACCGCTGTCATATAGCTGGAATATTGCTGAGTGCGGCGTTAAACAACAAACAAACAGAAAACTGGGTATCTTACACCAGGGAATTATCTAACCACCTCAGAGGCCGTTATTTAGCCCATATCTGCAACCAATGTCAATTCCCAAATTGGAATTAAAAATTTCCTAAATCATGTTGTTAAAGTTCAAACCAAAGGTTACCAACATTTCGGTTTTGTAGAGGTGACTTATTTTTAACTGATAACAGGACCAATAAAGTAGATATCCTGGATATCATTACGGAATTGAACCTGCAACTACACATATGATGTTAAGTTTGTTCAATTTTAGATATCATGACTTAGTTTTGTCTTTGCTGCACATGTTCCTTCTCTCACCCATTCTGACCACATTCCTTTGTCTACTGCAACACACTGTATTGTTTCACTATCAGATATCTCATGTTTTCTTACTGTTTCTTTTATTTCTTGCCAGAGAACCAGAGAAAACACTACACCTCCTATTTTTAGCAAATTAATTCATTACAAATAAAAAGAGATGTCACTCTGTATATCTTTATTAAAACAGAACATCATTGTTAGCCGAGTTCATTTCTAAAAGGGTTAGATTTTTTCAAACATTGCTGTTAAGCGGTAATATTTATTTCGTCAGTTTAAAAGTCGGTTAAGTACCAATAACCAGACACCAGCTATTTACAGAATGAGGTGAGGTGAGGTGAGGTGAAATTGGGTTTAACGTCGCGTCCAAGATTATTGCACTTATATAGCGACGTGCGTGCACGTGTATTTGTGTGTGTGGCTGCTTGTACTAGTCCAGACTGATGCCGATTTATAGTGCTAGCTCACTGAGATACCATGCCGCAGTTTAACATGAATACCCCACTCAGACACAGTATACTGACTCCGAGCCGACCAGTCCTTGTTTTAGCCCCTTAATGCCGAGCGCCAGACAGGGTAACAACAAGTACAATCTTTTAACGTCTTTTTGTATGACGCGGCCCGGGATCGAACCCTGGACCTTCCGCTCTCCGGGCGGACGCTCTACCACAAGACCACGGAGGCGGTCTATTTTTACAGAATGAAAGAGACACCCTACTTACGACATCTGCCAAACGTTGTAACACATGTACACAAAGCCCAGACTGCTTGTTGGTTGATGTGTGTATCAGTAGTGACGACTAGTCAATGAACAGTCATGTCAGCAAGGATGTGGCACAGTCCCACTGATGACTATACAAGATGAGACATCTGCCTCCTGAATTGACTGCATTCCACTCCAGTGGAGAAAGGGGAAGTCAGGTACCGTACTTCCTGTATAAAGGGCCAGGCTAGGGGTAGGGCAGTGACTGCATTCCACTCCAGTGGAGAAAGGGGAAGTCAGGTACTGTACTTCCTGTATAAAGGGTCAGGCTAGGGGTAGGGCAGTGACTGCATTCCACTCCAGTAGAGAAAGGGGAAGTCAGGTACCGTACTTCCTGTATAAAGGGCCAGGCTAGGGGTAGGGCAGTGACTGCATTCCACTCCAGTGGAGAAAGGGGAAGTCAGGTACCGTACTTCCTGTATAAAGGGCCAGGCTAGGGGTAGGGCAGTGACTGCATTCCACTCCAGTAAAGGGGATGTCAGGTACCGTACTTCCTTTATAAAGGGTCAGGCTAGGGGTAGGGCAGTGACTGCATTCCACTCCAGTAGAGAAAGGGGATCTCAGGTACCGTACTTCCTGTATAAAGGGCCAGGCTAGGGGTAGGGCAGTGACTGCATTCCACTCCAGTGGAGCAAGGGGATCTCAGGTACCGTACTTCCTGTATAAAGGGCCAGGCTAGGGGTAGGGCAGTGACTGCATTCCACTCCAGTAAAGGGGATGTCAGGTACTGTACTTCCTGTATAAAGGGCCAGGCTAGGGGTAGGGCAGTGTCTGCATTCCACTCCAGTGGAGAAAGGGGATCTCAGGTACCGTACTTCCTGTATAAAGGGTCAGGCTAGGGGTAGGGCAGTGACTGCATTCCACTCCAGTAGAGAAAGGGGAAGTCAGGTACTGTACTTCCTGTATAAAGGGTCAGGCTAGGGGTAGGGCAGTGACTGCATTCCACTCCAGTAGAGAAAGGGGAAGTCAGGTACTGTACTTCCTGTATAAAGGGCCAGGCTAGGGGTAGGGCAGTGACTGCATTCCACCCCAGTAAAGGGGATGTCAGGTACCGTACTTCCTGTATAAAGGGCCAGGCTAGGGGTAGGGCAGTGACTGCATTCCACTCCAGTAGAGAAAGGGGAAGTCAGGTACCGTACTTCCTGTATAAAGGGCCAGGCTAGGGGTAGGGCAGTGACTGCATTCCACTCCAGTAGAGAAAGGGGATGTCAGGTACCGTACTTCCTGTATAAAGGGCCAGGCTAGGGGTAGGGCAGTGACTGCATTCCACTCCAGTAGAGAAAGGGGAAGTCAGGTACTGTACTTCCTGTATAAAGGGTCAGGCTAGGGGTAGGGCAGTGACTGCATTCCACTCCAGTAGAGAAAGGGGAAGTCAGGTACTGTACTTCCTGTATAAAGGGCCAGGCTAGGGGTAGGGCAGTGACTGCATTCCACTCCAGTAAAGGGGATGTCAGGTACCGTACTTCCTGTATAAAGGGCCAGGCTAGGGGTAGGGCAGTGACTGCATTCCACTCCAGTAGAGAAAGGGGAAGTCAGGTACCGTACTTCCTGTATAAAGGGCCAGGCTAGGGGTAGGGCAGTGACTGCATTCCACTCCAGTAGAGAAAGGGGATGTCAGGTACCGTACTTCCTGTATAAAGGGCCAGGCTAGGGGTAGGGCAGTGACTGCATTCCACTCCAGTAGAGAAAGGGGATGTCAGGTACCGTACTTCCTGTATAAAGGGCCAGGCTAGGGGTAGGGCAGTGACTGCATTCCACTCCAGTAGAGAAAGGGGATGTCAGGTACCGTACTTCCTGTATAAAGGGCCAGGCTAGGGGTAGGGCAGTGACTGCATTCCACTCCAGTAAAGGGGATGTCAGGTACCGTACTTCCTGTATAAAAGGTCAGGCTAGGGGTAGGGCAGTGACTGCATTCCACTCCAGTAGAGAAAGGGGATGTCAGGTACTGTACTTCCTGTATAAAGGGCCAGGCTAGGGGTAGGGCAGTGACTGCATTCCACTCCAGTAAAGGGGATGTCAGGTACCGTACTTCCTGTATAAAGGGCCAGGCTAGGGGTAGGGCAGTGACTGCATTCCACTCCAGTAGAGAAAGGGGAAGTCAGGTACCGTACTTCCTGTATAAAGGGTCAGGCTAGGGGTAGGGCAGTGACTGCATTCCACTCCAGTAGAGAAAGGGGATGTCAGGTACCGTACTTCCTGTATAAAGGGCCAGGCTAGGGGTAGGGCAGTGACTGCATTCCACTCCAGTAGAGAAAGGGGATGTCAGGTACTGTACTTCCTGTATAAAGGGTCAGGCTAGGGGTAGGGCAGTGACTGCATTCCACTCCAGTAGAGAAAGGGGAAGTCAGGTACCGTACTTCCTGTATAAAGGGCCAGGCTAGGGGTAGGGCAGTGACTGCATTCCACTCCAGTAGAGAAAGGGGATGTCAGGTACCGTACTTCCTGTATAAAGGGCCAGGCTAGGGGTAGGGCAGTGACTGCATTCCACTCCAGTAGTGCAGTGAGGAGTGCAGTGAGGAGTGCAGTTAGGAGGGTAACAGCGACCCTGAAACCTACATGTACAGTGAGGAGGGTAACAGCAACCCTGAAACCTGCATGTGCAGTGAGGAGGGTAACAGCGACCCTGAAACCTACATGTGCAGTGAGGAGGGTAACAGCAACCCTGAAACCTACATGTGCAGTGAGGAGGGTAACAGCGACCCTGAAACCTACATGTGCAGTGAGGAGGGTAACAGCGACCCTGAAACCTACATGTGCAGTGAGGAGGGTAACAGCGACCCTGAAACCTACATGTGCAGTGAGGAGGGTAACAGCGACCCTGAAACCTACATGTACAGTTAGGAGGGTAACAGCGACCCTGAACCCTACATGTACAGTTAGGAGGGTAACAGCGACCCTGAAACCTGCATGTGCAGTGAGGAGGGTAACAGCGACCCTGAAACCTACATGTGCAGTGAGGAGGGTAACAGCGACCCTGAACCCTGCATGTGCAGTTTTTCCCGCACAACGCTCCGCCACCTCTGATGGAATGATAAATTTCCCCCTTACACAATAGCTTCCTCCTGGCTCCAAGCCAAGATCAGTCAGCTTGATAGGCAGTACACTACTGACACACACAGGGGTTTGTTACAGAGTCCATATCATGTGGCAAGGTGACCCTAACTTTAATTACTTAAAATAGTCCACCTGACATTCCTCAGATATCACCAATATGATTGGGTTGATCTGCAATGGCTGTGTATCATTTTATAGGTTTGATTGATGCACTCACTGTTCATGTCAAAACAAAGAGCACACATAGAACATTGTAGAACAATACGCCAAACAAAGCATATACCGTATTCGACGTAATAAGCGCCCAGGGCGCTCTCAAAATTAGAAAAAGGGGGCTCTTATTAGAATATTATTCTGGTGAAAAAAACAACAGAGTTGAAAGATAAATTTCGGGTTCATGCTGACAGCCTGAAATGTTTATATCAACATATATATTTTTCCAGAATTTAATTGCCTATAATTAAGGGTGCATATAACATATGAGTGCGTATTATACGCGAATAAATAAGTCTTGTGTACATTGATCAATCCGATGGGGTGCTAATTGGGATTGTTCACTCGTCAATATATTAGCAAAATCACCGTGGGCGTTTATTAGTGCGTGGCGCTTATTACGTCGAATACGGTACCAGGGATTTATCTAGGATTGGGAAAATGACTTTGGGAAAAAATAGTTACTTTGTTCAAAATTGGGATTTTTAAAAGTTTTCAACTTTTAACTTTGTGTTGTAATTTTAACATTAAATACAATAATGTTAAATTAAGCCTTTTCTTTTTTTGGTTCTGTTATCAGTAGAATACAAGTCACCTTGACAAAGTCTTTACTTCAGTTATAAGACACGTGAAGATCCGGGGTAGAATAGATTTTTCAGCAACCCATGCTTGCCACAAAAGGTGACAATGCTTGTGGTAAGAGGCGACTTGGTTGATGCATGTCATTGATCCCAATTGCATGGATCAATGCTAATGATGTCAATCACTGGATTGTCTGGTCCAGACTCGATTATTTACAGACCGCCGTCATATAGCTTGAATATTGCTAAGTGCGGCGTTAAACAACAAACAGACAGACAGACAGACATCAGTTATAAATATACTTTCATGAAAATGGAAGTTTTTAATTCCCATTTGGACATTTCTACTGACAGTGACTGCAGCAAGCCTAGACAGTCCCTGTATACCTGCCCAGCAGTTCTCCAGCATACTTGCATGGTTCACAAATGACTGTGATGTTTCATAATGATTGCCCTGACTACGGCATCCCCATCTTACATAGCTCACTACATGCTAGACCTTCACGGTATAGGATAGACTACCGGAGCTACAGATAGGCTGCATATCTGCGTAAAATAACCCCCAAAATATTCAAAGCCCAATTACTTTCAATTAACTTGCGTACAGCAACGCATGCATTATATGAAAAACTCAAATGTATAAAAACAGCATGTGTAAATACCTAATGAAGCTTTTTCAGCATGCATACAACGGATCTAATTTCCGAAACACAATTACGAGCTAATTTACTTTCCTAGTCAAGCCTATATTTAGAACTGTTATATACATCTAAAACATAGTCTCATTTTTTTTAAATCTCAAAATGTTTACTCATTTTTGGAAAAACCATGAAGAGTGATGAATATATGAGTGAAAAAATATTGGTTACCCAATGAAAAATGTAAGAAACCAATTAAAATAGAAACCGACAAGTAAAAACTAAATTGTTCAAAAGTTATCTGGAGCTCTGGACTTCTTTTGAATAAGAATTTCCACTGCAACAATTTCTCAACCTTATTGGACAGAGACATGGTCTGAAGCATATGCAATGATACTTGTCATTAGGGGTTTATGAGGCTTAATCGACCAGTCATGTGATCTTCAGATTACATACAATCCATATTGGAAATGAAAGAATACATGCAAGTAACAAAAATGGTGCTGTGCAAAACGAACAGTCTCGATTGACGAGTTAAATGAGAAATAGGATTACAACGAAACATTTTCAAGAGAATAACAAATGGCAGGAAGAGATATTAACTCCACAAATGACTGTCTCTCATAATTTTTCCTTCCTAATGTGGAACTAACATAAAAAGGGAATTCACAGTTTGTTTATGGGCGAGACACTTCTGATAAAGGGAGACAATTTGCGGGGAGGTAACTCTTGTACCACAACAGTTCCGTCAAAGTGTTATGTTCACTGCAGTGAAATATTAAGTGTTATGTTCACTGCAATGAAAATATCACTTTTCTCAACTCATGAGAAAAAACATTGAATTAGCCTATAAAAAAAATATGCTTTTTTCCCGTGTTAGCCTGCGACAGATTTAAAATCCTCGGTGACGTTATTGATAAAATGTCTTTGTGCCCAGTTGCTCACATCAGCCACTGGATTGTCAACAAAGTATCTTAGCGCTACGAATGTCTTAAGCCTATGTTAAAAAATAAGAGCACTACGTTTCTCTGCAGCCATCCTACATAAAAGTCCGACACTCAGTGAATACAGTAGTCTGATGACAAATACTTACAATTCAAACACCAGGAAGATGAATGTTGGTGTTTCAAACACGTCATGGAGCTCAACTGAAACGAAACAAATATGACATGTACAGGATCATTCTGGTTAATGCAATGGCCATATTTCAACTACAGTACGTTCTGCATTCTTAAATGGTTCTTAGCCTGGTTCTTAGCATCTAAAATACAATTTTGCTTCAGAAAATGCATACTGATAGCATATGTCTTAAAAGCTGATAGACAATATCTGTTCCATAAATCTATATTACATTGGATGTTTTTTAAAAGTCATATTCATAATAAAAAAATTCAATCAGCTCTGCTGGGGCTATGAAATATAATAGCCCCTGTTACTAGATGCCACCATATACATCAGCAATCCCCCCCGAGATGGTATAGTTAAATGATGTAAGCATTCTAGATGTCATCAGGCTATAACTCTGGGGGCAGCACACTTCTTCAACTTAAACAACTGTCAGCCCACCCACACATTGTTGTAAGAAGATTGGCACAGAATAGATGTGAATATTTTTGTGTGAGTTCGACAATGTACATTCTGATATGTGGGTGTCTGTGACAATGTACGTTCTGATATGTGGGTGTCCGTGACAATGTACGTTCTGATATGTGGGTGTCCGTGACAATGTACGTTCTGATATGTGGGTGTCCGTGACAATGTACGTTCTGATATGTGGGTGTCCGTGACAATGTACGTTCTGATATGTGGGTGTCCGTGACAATGTACGTTCTGATACATGTGATATGTTGGTGTCCGTGACAATGTACGTTCTGATATGTGGGTGTCCGTGACAATGTACGTTCTGATACATGTGATATGTGGGTGTCCGTGACAATGTACGTTCTGATATGTGGGTGTCCGTGACAATGTACGTTCTGATATGTGGGTGTCCGTGACAATGTACGTTCTGATACATGTGATATGTGGATGTCCGTGACAATGTACGTTCTGATATGTGGGTGTCCGTGACAATGTACGTTCTGATACATGTGATATGTGGGTGTCTGTGACAATGTACGTTCTGATATGTGGGTGTCCGTGACAATGTACGTTCTGATACATGTGATATGTGGGTGTCCGTGACAATGTACGTTCTGATTCACGTGATATGTGGGTGTCTGTGACAATGTACGTTCTGATATGTGGGTGTCCGTGACAATGTACGTTCTGATATGTGGGTGTCCGTGACAATGTACGTTCTGATATGTTTGTGTCCATCACTGTGACAATGGACTTACTGATATTTGGGTGTCCATCACTGTGACAATGGACTTACTGATATTTGGGTGTCCGGCACTGTGACAATGAACTTACTGATATGTGGGTGTCCGGCACTGTGACCATGGACTTACTGATATGGGGGTGTCCGGCACTGTGACAATGAACTTACTGATATGTGGGTGTCCGGCACTGTGACCATGGACTTACTGATATGGGGGTGTCCGGCACTGTGACAATTGACTTACTGATATGTAGGTGTCTGGCACTGTGACAATTGACTTACTGATATGTAGGTGTCTGGCACTGTGACAATTGACTTACTGATATGTAGGTGTCTGGCACTGTGACAATTGACTTACTGATATGGGGGTGTCCGGCACTGTGACCATGGACTTACTGACATGTGGGTGTCCGGCACTGTGACAATGAACTTACTGATATGTGGGTGTCCGGCACTGTGACAATGGACTTACTGACATGTGGGTGTCCGGCACTGTGACAATGAACTTACTGATATGTGGGTGTCCGGCACTGTGACAATGGACTTACTGACATGTGGGTGTCCGGCACTGTGACAATGAACTTACTGATATGTGGGTGTCCGGCACTGTGACAATGGACTTACTGATATGTGGGTGTCCGGCACACATGCGCAGGATGTTGATCTCGCGGGAGGTGTCTCGCCTCAGCTGCTCCACCTGGTGTTCCTCACCCTTCTCCCCACTGATGTCGATGATCTTGACGGCGTACTCTGTCCCTGATGCCTTCTCCACACACCGCCGCACCGTGCTCGACACACCCCTTGAAACATACAGGTTGCAGTAGTGAATGAGTGAGTCAATGTTTTCAAATGCCCAGTCAGCATTCTGCTAGTCATCATTTTCCCGAGGCAAGGGAGTTAACTGACTCTAAAAGTCTAGTTTCCACCTTTGCCGAATTTGGCTGGACTTTCTGCGCTTGATTGTAACTCCATCAGTGTCTATTTCAATTTATGTCCCTTCTAAGTCCCTTAAACCGACCTATCAGGTTCAACCTTTCATATCACTTGCATTTGCTTCAAATAAAATGGTGGTGCCCAGTCAAGATGAACTCACCATTAATAAAGATCTTTAGTGTAATAAAATGCGTTTCACCATGCGAAGTGCATCAGATCACGTGAGCACCTTCATTAAAAACAAGAACAGATTTGGAAAATATATGTCAACGCCCAGTTGACAGTACACATGCTCTGCAAATTCTGCAATTGAACGAATTCGGCATGGAAGTTGCCATGTTGTTTATGGATCGGTGGTCACACTCGCTGACTTGGTTGATGCATGTCACTGTATCCCTATTGAGTAGATCAATGATCATGATGTCAATCACTGGATTAGTTACAGCCCGCCGTCATATAGCTGGAATATTCCCGAATGCAGAGCTTAACAATAAACACCTGAGCTCTTCTGTAATCACCGGTAAATGATTTGTTTTTTGTTTTTGTTCAATGCTGCACCAAGATGAGACCCAATCAGTTGATACAGGACGATAGATAAGTGTCCAGTACGCTGATCTTGTATTTTATATTGGAAAGAAAAGATAGATGCATGATGTAATATGTATTGAAAAGATCAAAATCTCAATGAAATATTCCAGCTATATGACTGTATGACCACTATGACTGCATGGCCACTATGACTGTATGACCACTATGACTGTATGACCACTATGACTGTATGACCACTATGACTGCATGACCACTATGACTGTATGACCACTATGACTGTATGACCACTGTATGACTGAATGACAATGATGACTGTATGACCACTATGACTGTATGACCACTATGACTGCATGACCACTATGACTGTATGACCACTATGACTGTATGACCACTATGACTGCATGACCACTGTGACTGTATGACCACTATGACTGCATGACCACTGTGACTGTATGACCACTATGACTGCATGACCACTATGACTGTATGACCACTATGACTGTATGACCACTGTATGACTGAATTACAATGATGACTGTATGACCACTATGACTGTATGACCACTATGACTGCATGACCACTATGACTGTATGACCACTATGACTGCATGACCACTATGACTGCATGACCACTGTGACTGTATGACCACTATGACTGCATGACCACTATGACTGTATGACCACTATGACTGCATGACCACTATGACTGTATGACCACTATGACTGTATGACCACTGTATGACTGAATGACAATGATGACTGTATGACCACTGTGACTGTATGACCACTAAATGACTGTATGACCACTGTGACTGTATGACCACTATGACTGTATGGCCACTGTATGACTGAATGACCACTGTGACTGTATGACCACTGTGACTGTATGCCCACTATGACTGTATGACCACTGTGACTGTATGACCACTATGACTGTATTTTGACCACTGTGACTGTATGACCATGATGACTGTATGACCACTGTGACTGTATGACCACTATGACTGTATGACCACTGTGACTGTATGACCACTATGGCTGTATGACCACTATGGCTGTATGACCACTGTATGACTGAATGACCACTGTGACTGTATGACCACTGTGACTGTATGACCACTATGACTGTATGACCACTGTGACTGTATGACCACTGTGACTGTATGACCACCAGACTGTATGACCACTATGGCTGTATGACCACTATGGCTGTATGACCACTGTATGACTGAATGACCACTATGACTGTATGACCACTGTGACTGTATGACCACTATGACTGTATGACCACTGTATGACTATGACCACTATGACTGTATGACCACTATGACTGTATGACCACTGTATGACTGTATGACCACTATGACTGTACAACCACTATGGCTGTATGACCACTGTATGACTGTATGACCACTATGACTGTATGACCACTGTGACTGTATGACCACTTTGACTGAATGACCACTGACTGTATGACCACTATGGCTGTATGACTACTGTATGACTGAATGACCACTATGACTGTATGACCACTGTGACTGTATGACCACTATGACCACTTTGACTGTATGACCACTATGACTGTATGACCACTATGACTGTATGACCACTATGACTGTATGACCACTGTGACTGTATGACCACTATGGCTGTATGACCACTGTATGACTGTATGACCACTATGACTGTATGACCACTATGACTGTATGACCACTATGACTGAATGACCACTATGACCACTATGACTGTATGACCACTGTGATTGTATGACCACTATGGCTGTATGACCACTGTGACTGTATGACCACTATGGCTGTATGACCACTGTATGACTGTATGACCACTATGGCTGTATGACCACTATGGCTGTATGACTGAATGACCACTATGACTGTATGACCACTGTGACTGTATGACCACAATGACTGAATGACCACTGACTGTATGACCACTATGGCTGTATGACCACTGTATGACTGAATGACCACTGTATGACTACTGTATGACCACTGCCAGCACGACTTACTGTGGCTGTACATGTGATAGGCAGTCAGTCATTCACACCAACCACCGTCATTGCTGGTAGCAGGATTTATTCAACACAGAAAATAGCAAACACCACACATGTGTATAAAATAGCAAACACCACACATGTATAAAATAGCAAACACCACACATATGTATAAAATAATGTCAGACAATGAGAGTATGAATGAGGCTGTACTGTATCAGGTGTTTTGTCCCGGGACCCACAGCAGTGTTACACAACAGCGATTGATAAATAGACGCCATCCACCGAGTTACATAGATTGACCGAGATCCATACAGCCCTACAAACACACTTCCTACTTCACCTGATTCAACAAGTTCTCCTGGAATGCCGTCTCAAGTTTTAAAGCACTAAGTCTCGCCTCGGACACATCTGGATCATGTGTTAAGACCGGCGTACAGAGGCAGCAGGAATCAATGCCCCAAACTGATCAAGCAGTGGGTACAGTGTTGAGTCTGAGCATGTATGCAGATGAGGTGTAGACGGCACTAGACATCACTGCAGTACTTGCAACAGGTCTCACGATTCCAGTCTTTACTAGGAAGTCAACAGGCTAATAATAATAATAATAACAACAACAACAACAACGCTTGAGCCTCCGTCCCCCTTTAACTGTCAACAGTTTCTCAACGAGTGAACTTCAATATCATCATTATCCAGTCAAACATCAAACATGTTACTTTACAGGGCTAGGATCATATTTTGAAGACCAAAATCGCAAAATGAAGAATTTGGCAACTGCATGGTAACTACGGTAACCATGATAACTATGGTAACTCATGTGTGCCTACTATTAAAGTAAGTTCTGATTGAAATGGTGAACTAAATGGTTGCCAAATAGAGGGCTGCATTGCAAAGAATATATTTCAAAGGATGAGATATCCCAAAGCAATTATAGTTCAAAAATGGAAAAAATTATTTGATAGTATATTGGTTAATAAAGTACCCCAAATTAAGTCTCCTGTGAACTGATTGCTATCAACACCGCTTTCAGTATTTCAGTTAAATCATGACGTGTCAGCTTAATGTGAAAGGAAAGTGATGCAAGTCTCAACATAGTCTGATATGAACATATGTTGGTTGGTTTGTTGTTTAACGCTGCACTCAGCAATATTCCAGCTATATGATGGCGGTCTGTAAATAATCGACTCTGGACCAGACAATCCAGTGATTGATATGAGCATCGATCCCGCATGCACGTCGCAATAATCTTGGACGCAACGTTAAACCCCATTTCACCTCACCTCACTTCCGGGGCAATTTTCAACACCTCACCCCCACCCCCAATTATGTATTTTATCAGACATAAAACTTTTGAACTGGTCCCTTAAGAAACAAGGAATCACACAAAGTGAATGTCTCCATCTGCAGCACATGAGGCTAAGTGTTTGGATGTGCAGCAGGTGGGGATGAAGTGGAATCATTTATTATTGCCTAGCTATTGCCTAGCACTTCTGGTGTCAGTGACACTGGATCAATTTGTATTCAGATCAGCCAACAGCTCTCCATCAAACACTGAAACATCAAAACTGCCAGGAATTGAAAGTTTGTCCCCACTGTGAATTACATCAACCTAGGATCAATGTTATCAGCCCTGTGACTGGTGCCTCACTCAGCATGGAGGCAGCAGTACATATAAACTGAGCCAAACTATAAACACACTTGACTGGCTCACACCAGATGACTTGACCTAGATACTTGACCTAGATACTTAACCGACTTTCCTCCCACTGTTTACATAGCTCCCATAGTAGTTCAGTGTCCCAGCTGGGATGGAGTGAGAACATTTGTACTGCATACATGTATTTCAATAATTCACCACGGTGACTGTTTTCTCCTGCAGCATTTTCCATCACTGAGAATCTGACATTAAGCCTTCATCCAAAGAAGTTTCAACACAAAGTAAACAGAAACTGACAAATAACAGAATTATGTTCACGAAATCATGTCAAAGAAAAGTTTGTAGGGGAATAAGGCTTGAGCACTGCCAGAGCAAAATTATTTGAAGTTGTTGAAATTTATAAAGTCAATGCCAGAGAATAACCAGTCCTGATTATCTTAAACCGATTCCATTGGGTGTAAAAGGCAAAATACCGATGAAGAATATAAGAATGGATCAATGAAATTGAGTGAGTGAGTGAGTTGGGTTTTACGCCGCTTTTAACAGTATTCCAGTCATATCGCGGCGTGTCAGCTTAATGTGGGAGCAAAGCCCGAAGTGATGCAGGTCTCAGACGTTTACCACTTTGGTGAAACCCACGAGCACGGGTATGGTGCTGACAAACCTAGAAACATAATCGGGGCGAACCGGGATTCGAACCCACAATCATAGGTTTCTGGTGTGCCCAAGGGGCACAGCGAATCGCAGCGCCTTAGACGACTGGGTCACCCGTGTCCCCGGATCACTGAAAACCAGTGATGACACCAGGTGTTCACAAAAAGGGTAAGCATGTTTGACAAAGAACCAAGCCCCTGTAGGGCTCCAGTAGGGCTCCAGTAGGGGCATGTAGAGACAACCAAGTCCCTGTAGGGCTCCAGTAGGGGCATGTAGGGACAACCAAGTCCCTGTAGGGCTCCAGTAGGGCTCCAGTAGGGGCATGTAGAGACAATCAAGTCCCTGTAGGGCTCCAGTAGGGCTCCAGTAGGGCTCCAGTAGGGGCATGTAGAGACAACCAAGTACCTGTAGGGCTCCAGTAGGGCTCCAGTAGGGCTCCAGTAGGGGCATGTAGAGACAACCAAGTCCCTGTAGGGCTCCAGTAGGGGCATGTAGAGACAATCAAGTCCCTGTAGGGCTCCAGTAGGGCCCCAGTAGGGGCATGTAGATACAACCAAGTCCCTGTAGGGCTCTAGTAGGGCTCTAGTAGGGCTCCAGTAGGGCTCCAGTAGGGGCATGTAGAGACAACCAAGTCCCAGTAGGGCTCCAGTAGGGCCCCAGAAGGGGCATGTAGAGACAACCAAGTCCCTGTAGGGCTCCAGTAGGGCTCCAGTAGGGGCATGTAGAGACAACCAAGTCCCTGTAGGGCTCTAGTAGGGCTCCAGTAGGGGCATGTAGAGACAACCAAGTCCCTGTAGGGCTCTAGTAGGGCTCCAGTAGGGCTCCAGTAGGGGCATGTAGAGACAATCAAGTCCCTGTAGGGCTCTAGTAGGGCTCCAGTAGGGCTCCAGTAGGGGCATGTAGATACAACCAAGTCCCTGTAGGGCTCCAGTAGGGCTCCAGTAGGGGCATGTAGAGACAACCAAGTCCCTGTAGGGCTCCAGTAGGGCTCCAGTAGGGGCATGTAGAGACAATCAAGCCCCTGTAGGGGTCTAGTAGGGCTCCAGTAGGGGCATGTAGAGACAACCAAGTCCCTGAAGGGCTCCAGCAGGGGCATGTAGAGACAACCAAGTCCCTGTAGGGCTCCAGTAGGGCTCCAGTAGGGGCATGTAGAGACAACCAAGTCCCTGTAGGGCTCCAGTAGGGCTCCAGTAGGGGCATGTAGAGACAACCAAGTCCCTGTAGGGCTCCAGTAGGGCTCCAGTAGGGGCATGTAGAGACAACCAAGTCCCTGTAGGGCTCCAGTAGGGCTCCAGTAGGGGCATGTAGAGACAACCAAGTCCCTGTAGGGCTCTAGTAGGGCTCCAGTAGGGGCATGTAGAGACAATCAAGTCCCTGTAGGGCTCTAGTAGGGCTCCAGTAGGGGCATGTAGAGACAACCAAGTCCCTGTAGGGCTCCAGTAGGGCTCCAGTAGGGGCATGTAGAGACAACCAAGTCCCTGTAGGGCTCCAGTAGGGCTCCAGTAGGGGCATGTAGAGACAATCAAGCCCCTGTAGGGGGTCAGCTGACAAACCAATATGAGTTTCAAACACTTCAATCAAGCTGGCTGGGACTGCAGATTGGCTAGGTGGCTCAATATAGACAAGTAGTTTATATTTTAATGAGCTTTATAATCTCTGACTGAGTGTAATTGATGACCCATTGACTCTTCACTAGTCATGCTAAAGATGCTAAGTGTTTTGAAGTATTTAAGTACTTTGCTGTTGCTAAAACACAAAACATGCAAAATGACACACTCAAAAACAACCAATAACGTTCGCAAAACAAACTCCACCCGATCCCACAAAAAAACCAAAAAAAAACAACAAAAAACCCTGGCAAATAATTGTCAAAACTCAGATGTCTCCGTCCCATTCAGATCTCACAACGCAATATTCTTAATAAAGTGTTAAAACTTAACAACAGTTCCGTGGTAAAAAGAAATTGGTTTTACAAACATGTCCAGAACAAATGTCAATCATCATCCAGACTCAATAATATTCACAAAAAATATTCCAATAAATATATAATCCAAAATTGTCAAGAGACAAAAGGCAACAGGACATTGACATAATTCCACCACCGTTTGATGAGACATTCTTCTATATTACTATCAAATTGCAAAATACATCTTTAGGACATTTTGCACGACAATCAGCCAATGTCCTAGAAAGTGAATGTCTAAGAAAGTGAATGTCCTAGAAAGTGAATGATATGAAACCTGACAAAGTCGACCAGTCTCAGGTCACAGTGACCAGCAGACCAACAGTGATTATTTCCCCCAATCAATGCCCCTTCTCCTGGAGGAGCCAACTCACCTGCCAATCACCTCCTCCAGAACGAACTTGTCCTGGTGAGCAGTGAACTCGGACACACACACATCCACCATCCCCATGATGCCAGCCTCTCCCTCTAACAATGTGGCAAAATCATCCAATCCAGAATTATCCTAATCCAAGTTCCATCACATCACAGAATGTCCGAACCAGGATCCTGTCATATCCAGCTAAACTATTCCTTCAGACAACCATAACTCAAACAAGGTTGTCAAGTTCACCGGATGCACAAACGTCAAATCCTTGCCTCAACCTGTGACTGTTTAATCAGATAAGACAGTGATGAAACATGTATAGAATCCCAGCCAGAAGTCCTAGTCTTCTCTTAGTCCAGGTGAACATGTTTCTCTGATCCAGACCCACTGTCTGAATGCAAGCACTTCCTGTATCAAGTGACAGTCAATACTTAATACTCATACTAGCAATACTTTCACACCTGTCACCTGAGGTCACACCTGATTAGATTTACCTCCTGGCATCAATTACAGGTTTGAGGTTTCAGCATGACGTCTTTATCAATATGTATGAGAAAGTTTAACACATAGACAAACACACAGCTTGTTGGAACATATATTCTCCCTGCATGTATCATTTGAAACCAGTAATTATGAATTACATATGTATTCCACATATGAGAAACACACCACGTTCGTATATCATATAGGTCTGCACTGAATGATGCATGAGAACTGAAGCACTGGCCTTATATACCACATATAAGCAGTATTATTGAAACAATAATTCCCCCTGTCTTAATAAGGAAAGCTATTAATATCTAGTTGGTCATTCCCCAAGCAGTATTGACTAAACAGAAGGCTGACTGTTTGTAATCAGAGCTGACATGTGTTTGATATATTTACCCTCCACAACAGATCTAGTTGTTGCCAGTTGGTATCCTTGTCAATATATGACGTGTAGTCTAACAATGGGTATTTAATACCAAGCCCAAGTGTTGAACATTAACCTCATTAGTCAGTTAGGCCCTGTCTAACAACCGTATGGTTTACGGATTAGCCGGTTACCTGGGGTGGGTCAATACCAAAATAAAAAAGATTTGAACATTAAAAGTTTGACAATGAATCTTGTGAAGCTTAATTACTGGGGACGACTGAAACAAGCAGACACTGTACCTTCACTGTGTTTTTGTTTTTGATTGTATGTATGACTGGAGTGGTGCTTATGCATTTCGTACGACTTGTTTACTAATCATGTCTGTGTTGACTTGGTAGAATAATCATGATCATGAAGTGAATGGTGAAATTGAATGATGGAATTGAATGGCGAAGTGGGATGGTGAAGTTGAATTGAGAAGTTGGATGGTGAAGTTGAATGATGAAATTGAATTGAGAAGTTAAATGATGAAATTGAATGATGAAATTGAATTGAGAAGTTGAATGATGAAATTGAATGGTGAAATTGAATTGAGAAGTTGAATGATGAAATTGAGTGGTGAAGTGGGATGGTTAAGTTGAATTGAGAAGCTGAATGGTGACGTTGAATGATGAAGTTGAATGATGAAATTGAATGATGAAGTTGAATGATGAAATTGAATTGAGAAGTTGAATGGCAAAGATGAATGGTAAAATTGAATCATGTATTTTATTTGACATTGTTTGGATCCCCGGTTGATCAGCAAAGCAAAAACTAAGTTTTTTTAAGTATCTTTTGAGGAATAAGTATCAAGGTTTCCACTAAGAGATCTTGAACACTGAGTTGACCATAACGCACAAACGTTAACACAGACCTATGATCGTAGCGTGAGCAAGGCCCATCAGCAGAAGTGTTTATCCTGTTCCTAATATATGGGCAGTGCTCAGAGACTAAACTATGCACTTAATTATATTTGTTTGAAATGGTCAACTTTTGTTTTTCCTTTGGTAGCTGTGTTTTGGATCAAGCCAATAATCCATCCAATAACAAGTGTCAGAAATGTAAAAATAAAGAAGAAAAATCTCCTTCAAATCAGAATCTTCTGGTTCATTCCACTGACACGTAAACCAAAAAATATAAGTATGGCCTCATTTTGCTGAGCACGGCAATGAAGGAGGCGCTAGGACAACAACGCAGTTCCGTCATCCACTTTGATAGCATGAACTCCTTCATGTATTTAAATAGCTCTGGGAAGGTGACTGATATTGTTATTCTGGTAAGTTTAAATGACACCACGATATGAATAGACGGCATGACGTCACTCAGTGTGCATCCTGGTGAGCAGGACCATACCAGGAACTAATCACTAGACAGATTAGATAATCTCTTGTCAATCGGCTGTAACCCATCTTCATCATGTTCATACATGTCTAGTCCAAAGTAGAATGTTTAGGTGATCAAAAATTAATTATTAAATATTTATAAAGTTTTCATTCACGTGAGGCAAATTTGTATATTTGAAATTAATGTGTCACCATATATATACATAAACAGGTAGAATTCTTGATGTTTAAGTGACCAAAAACTACTTATTAAATATTAATAAAAAAAATTCAATCACGAGAGGCATATTTGAAAATTTGAAATTAAAGTATCACCATATATATATACATATATACAGTAGGGCTGTTACGATTCACTCATGTATTCGGTGAATCGAACTGTATCCATTCATGAATTGAATTCGTTATTTGTGGCCACTAGAATCGAATATTTATGAATATGCAAGCATGTCCATTCACATACCCTGTACCTAAAAATATCTATAAGAACATAGATTTCTTTAAAGACAACACTCTTATAATATATAATTTGACAGTATTGTGGTCACTGGTCATTGTCGCATTTGAGCAGATACTAGCACCTGGATAAGTGCAGTATCTAAATGTATAATATATCTATAATTAACAATCATGTCAAATAATTTATGTTGTTAATGTTTCACTGAATATAACAAATAATACTTCAGCTGCTGACTTGTTATTGTATTCGTGAATTAATATTCGTATTCGTTACCCTATATTCGTGATACGAATTGTATTCGCCTCATTGTGTATTCGTTGCAGCCCTAATATACAGGTAGAATTCTTGATGATTAGGTGACCAAAAACTAATTATCAAATATTAATACAAAGTTTTCAATCACATGAGGCATATTTGTATATTTGAAATTATATATATACCATATATCAGATATATACATACATATTGTTATAATGTTGTGAATAAATAAAAATGAAATGTCTACGGTATTAGTTAGAATCATGGAATGTACCAAGAACAATCGTGGTGGAATGAAGATCTGCTTTGAAGGTTGCATGTATATCCAGCGCTACACAAGAAAGTGTGGTTTTACGCCGCTTTTAGAAATATTCCAGCAATATCACAGCAGGGGACACCACCGTCTTGTAGAGTTGCCCTTACCTCTGACGTTAACTGTAGTGATGTTGGATCTACTTTCCCCCACAATCACGACAAAGATGGCCACGGACTACTCGTCACCAAGATCATCACCAATATGATGAGTGAGTGAGTGAGTTTAGTTTTATGCCACTTTTAGCAATATTACAGCAATATCATGGCAGGGACACCAGAAATGGGCTTCACACATTGTACCCATGTCGGGAATCGAACTCAGGTTTTCGACGTGACGAGCGAACGCTTTAACTAGTAGGCTACCCCACCGCCCCTGAAGAAACAAGAGTCACTCAGGTACTGACACAGTTGCTGCAAGATGAGTGAGTGAGTGAGTGAGTATGGTTTTACGCCGCTTTTAGCAATATTCCAGCAATATCACGGGCGGGGGACACCAAAAAAGGGATTCACACATTGTACCCATGTCGGGAATCGAACCAGGGTCTTCGGCGTGACGAGTGAACGCTTTAACCACAAGGCTACCCGACCGCCCCTGCTGCAAGATGAAGGCCGACCCCCAGGCAATTGTGTCAAGAGAACAAGACAAGACCACCAGAAGTGACTACAACACTTGTATTGATCATACACAAATAGACCAAGGTCAAACGTGCCTCTGTTCACCCAGCAGTGAATGGGTAGCCAGTAGGATGAGATGGCAATGTCTTTAAACCTTCTGGTATCTCACAGGCAGCTTGGATAGTATACTTCCTGTGAGAATCGATCAAGTGAGCTGTTCCACTGATTGGGGAATTAATAATGAAAGGTTTTGAGCAATCCCCTGTATGGTGTGGAAATATAGTGCAATATAGATGGCACCCAGGTGGGAATTCAAACCCAGTGGGGTGAACGACCACCACACCTCCCCACTGCAAGTCAAAGAGACGTTTTTCACATTTTTTTTCACTGTACTTTTTAAAAATCTTTACCAGGCCATCAAATAGGTTTTCAACACGGGTCGATGGTTCTGGTAAACAGCCTCTGGTTATAATCAGCCTTACGGTTAGAGACGTTCCCACCTCTATCAATCATCTACAGGAATGCCATACAAGGACATATCGGTTGTTATCATAATGTCGGCTACTACGCACCGTCGGCCAAGCCTGTGTCCTATGGTCAAGATAAGGTTAATCAAGCCCCACACTGTGGTCAGACAGGTGTGTTGTCAGACAGGTGTGTTGTCAGACAGGTGTGTTGTTGCACGGATGTATCCTCGGGCAACTGAGCTGGGGTCAGCCAGTCAACAGGTGTGAAATAAGATTACCTGACCATGTTGACATGCCTAATTGCCTGATCTACAATTAATCTCTAATCACATCTATTCAAGAACACAACAAAAGACCACTGCTTGGGATTTCACAGTTAATGACAACAGAATGATAACTCAACATGCCAAAGGCCTGACTTTTGAGGGGGAAATCCAATTTCAAATATTTTTTGTGATTTCTTTACAATATTCAGTCAGAAGTGAAAGCAGTAGGCTGGTCCATTGATAAATACACTGGTCCACTAGACAGCCATGTTGGTCCACTAGACAGCCATGTTGGTCCACTAGACAACCATGTCAGGGTTAGAAACTAGCAGTTTTCGTCCACTAGTCCTTATAAAGATTACATATAGCAAAACCCTTAAAATGGGCCAATTTCTACTAGTCCTTAGGATACCTTTACTATTGGGCAGTTTGGTAAGGACTATAGGACTAGTGCTAATTTCTAACGCTGCATGTTGGTCCACTAGACAAACTTCAGTAAACATTAATGAAGACCAGTAGATTCTTAAATCAAAGTGGCCCAAATACGAAAAGTAACTGTCAAAATTTGGCTACTTTGTGACTAATTGAGTGAGTTGGGTTTAACGCCGCTTTTTACAATATTCCAGTTATATCACGGCGTGTCAGCTTAATGTGGGAGGAAAGCCCGAAGTGATGCAGGTCTCAGACGTTTACCACTTCTGTGAAACCCATGAGCACAGGTATGGTGCTGACAAACCTAAAAACATAATCGGGGCGAACCGGGATTCGAACCCACACTGTTAGATTTCTGGCGTGCCCAAGGGACGCGACTCTGCATAGCGTATCACGGCCGTCGGTGCCCCACTTTGTGACTAAAGAGACAAGACAGCTATCAAGCAAATATTTTCGATACAAAGTAAAATTTAGTGAAATCCATTATTTTACATACACTTAGTCATTTGTCTGTGGGAGCATTCATAATGCTATGACTGCAGTATAAAGTTGTATAGTCCGTTGGAAACTATTGCCAAATCTTTTTAAGTCTTCTCGTCCAAACTTCATATCATTTTCAGTATTTTTACG